ACTACAAATACTGAAAAATCAAAGGAGATTGAATCTTGAAAGCAAAAAATGTCCTCTGAATTGATAAATAAAAGGAGCTATTTTTTAAAAAAACTAATAAATTGATGAAATCAGTAGCTACTTTTATTCAAAAGAGAAGAAAACCAAATGAACAAAATAAAAAAATGAAAAAAGCAAAATCCATGAACAAATCAGAAAGTAGAAACTATTTTATTCATGTTCCAACAAAAGTGATAACTGAAAGGAATTGAATGAATATTTGTAAAAATATAAACTACTCAGATTAACAGAACAAATAGACAATCTAAATAACAACCTCAGAAAAAGAAATTGAAGCCGTGCAGCCGAGGTGTGAGCTGTTCCTCCCACATCCCCTCCCATGCATGTACCTTGGCTCCACATTTCCTCCATCTGTGCCTCTCCAAGGGTGTTCTCTATGTATGTCCATCCTTCCCATTGATGCTATGTGTATCTGAGGGGTTTATAGCAGTTATTTTGTTGCTACTTTTCTTACTATGCCATTTATTAAATGCCTTTGCTTTGAAAAAAAGACAAAAGAAATGGTAGGTATAGCAATAAGACAGAAAAAATAAATTAGAGAGGAATAAGCATAAGGAAAAGAGAAACACAATTATTGCTTTTTCCAGATTTGATGGTCTACTTAGCAATCCCTCCAGATTCAACTAAAATTAACTGAGACAATTTTAGCAACACAGGAAAAAATGAAATCCACACAAACATCCACTTTTATATATGAACAACAAAATCCAAAAGGAAGAGATAGGAAGACGAATTCTATCCAAAATAACTATAGAATATATTCGGGAGTCCATCTACCAAGATATAGGTATTATGTAACTACAAAACATTCCTTAGAGAAATATGGACCTAAATAATTGGAGAGATAGTAATTGCTCATGGTTGGGCCATGCCAATATGATAAAAAATAATAATACTTCCTAAATGGATTTACTTATTCATAAATAATTAACTTATTCTATATAGCTAAAATAAAATAACACAATTCATCTGGAGGAACAAAAAAAAATCAAGAATCTCAAGGAAATAATGAAAACAAGTGGGATGGAAGGGAGCTTAGCAGTACCAGCCCAAACCATACTACAAGATAATAATCATCAAGACTACTTGATACTTTTTTAGAAATTGAGGGGCAGCTAGGTGGCGTATTGGATAGAGCCCTGGCCTTGGAGTCAGGAGGACCTGAGTTCAAATCCAGCCTCAGACATGTGACACTTACTAGCTGTGTGACCCTGGACAAGTCATTTAACCCTGATTGCCTAAGCAAAACAAATAAAAGAAAAAAAAACATTAACTTTTTTAGAAATTGAGAAGTTAACCAAGGGACAGATTAGGAATAAAAAATCCAGAAGCAAGTGAACATAGTAGCATAATATTTGATGAAGCCCAAAACACTAACTAGTGGAATAAAGACTCACTATTTTATTAAATCTGCTGCAAAAAACTACAAAGTGTTTTGACAGAAATTAGGGTTAGACTATCATCTCGTATCATAATAAGTTCCCAATACATTTATGACAGATATTTTTTAAAAGTTACATCATAAATAAATTTGAGGAGCAGGAAACACCTTTCACAACTACATAGCAATTAAAATTAAGATAGATTGAGGCACAAAGTTCGGAGGATAATCAGTTTATTAGTAAAGAGCAAATTTACCAATAAATAGGATCTCAGCTTTCTCAACAACACTAAAACCCTGAACGAGGGGGACAATTCCATCTTATAGTTTTGGGCAGTACAGAAAAAAGGACAGAACCTCATAGGTAGGGAACAAGTTCTGATTGGTTAAAAGAGCTCGACGTTATAAGTGGCAAAATCAATATGATTGGTTACAATGCTGAGGTGTAGAAGACAACATGATTGGTTAGAAATTGGGAATGAAGTGTGAGCAACAGCCCCCTTCCCTCCTGTGACTAAAAATGTTCATTGTTCGAGTCCACCTGCAAGATTAGAGAGAATGGGCCAGACTTCTTTGGACAGCAAACCAGACATCCTTGAAGGATGGCTTGGGAGTGTAAAGATACTAGGCCAGACTCTCTGGTGTCCACCCATATCCCCCAAGGGTAGCAGATTTTCCGGAGGCAAGAATAGAACAGTGATTAGCAGAACTGAATTTCTAAGCTTAACTCTTATAGGCCAACTGAATTTCTGAACTAAGTTCAGAGATAAAGAACCATGAGTTAAATTAACTATAAATAGGATCAATTTTATTTTATTTTTAAAATTAATTTTTATTAATTTTGATTTATCAACAATCATTTCCATAAGCTTTTGAGTTTTAAATTTTTCTCCCCCTTCCTCCTCCCCTCCCTCCCCAAAATAGCGTGCAATCTGATATAGGCTATACATATACATTCCTATTAAGCATATTTTCACATTAGTCATGTTGTAAGGCAGAATTAGAACCAATAGAAGGAACCACAAGAAAGAGGAAACAAAACAAAACAGAAGGGAAAAAAAGAGCAAATAGTATGCTTCGATCTGCATTCAAACTCCATAGTTCTTTCTTTGGATGTGGATAGCATTTTCTATCATGAGGCCTTTGGAGATGGCTCAGATGCTTGCATTGCTGAGAAGAGCTAAGTCTATCAATGTTAGTCATCGCACAATGTGGCTGTTACTGTGTACAACATTCTCCTGGTTCTGCTCACTTCACTCAGCATCAGTCCATACAAGTCTTTCCAGGTTTTTCTGAAGTCAGCCTGTTCATCATTTCTTATAGCACAATAGTATTCCATGACATTCATATACCACAACTTGTTCAGCCATTCCCCAATTGATGGGCATCCCCTCAATTTCCAATTATTTGCCACCACAAAAAGAGCTGCTATAAATATTATTGTACATGTGGGTGGATCAATTTTAAAAAGGCAGAATCAATCTAATTATTTCAACTATGAACAGGGGAAGAGTTCTTTCTTAATCGTTGGAAGGATAGAAAAAATCAAAGGAGATAAAATGGATATTTTTGATCACATAAAATCGAAAAGCTTTTTCACAACTAAAAACAATGAAGCTAAAGTTAGAAGGGAATTGGTGGGAGAAAGTCTATGCAGTAAATTTGTCTGATAAAAGTCTGACGAACAAGATATATAGAGTTGACTTAAAAATATAAGAACAAGAGTCAATTCCCAAAAGATAAGTGGTCAAAGGATAGAAAGAGGCATTTCTCAAAAAGAATGTTATCAACAATCATATGAAAAATGTATGCCCTAAGTCACTAACAATAGGAGAAATACAAAGTATGACAACTCTGAGGTTTCACTTTTACATCCATCAGATTGTTAAAAGATAACAAAAAAGGAAAATAATAATTGTTGGAGGGGCTGCAGGAGGATAGGCACGGTCATGGTTGTTGGTGGAAGTGTAGTTGGTCCAACCATTCCTTTTTTAAAAAAATTATTAATTTTTATTTTTTACTATTTCTTTTTTATTTATTTTTAGTTTCCCACATTCACTTCTATAAGATTTTGAGTCCTAAATTTTCTCCTTCTCCTTCTCCTCCCCCCTTCCCAAGATGGCGTGCAATCTGATGTAGGCTATACGTATACATTTTTATTAAACTTAGTTTCACATTAGTCATGACATAAAGAAGAATTAGAACCAAGGTCCAACCACTCTGGAAAGCAATTTGGAACTGTGCTCAAAAAGTCACTAAACTGTACATATCTTTTGATCCAACAATATCAGTGCCAGAATTTATGCCTTAGAGAGTTAAAAACAAGAGGGAAGAGACCTACACGTACAAAAATATTCATGATAGCAATTTTTGTTGTAGGAAAGGACTGGAAACTAAGAGAGTGCCAACCACTTGGGGGGATGACTGAACAAATTATGGGACATGAATCTAATGTGATGTTACTGCAGCACTGCTGTTCAGTTGTGTCCAACTCTCCATGGCCCCATTTGGGGTTTTCTTGGCAAAGGTACTGGAGTGGTGTGCCATTTCCTTCTCCAGCTCATTTATGGATCTGAGGCAACGGAGGCATACAGGTTTAAGTGACTTGCCCAGGGTCATACAGCTAGTAAGTGCCTTAGGCCGCATTCGAAATCAGGAAGATGAGTCTTCCTGACTCCCGGCCCAGCACTCTATCCACTGTGTCACCTGGCTGCTTATGACTGTACTGTAAGGAATGGCAAAAAAGGAGATTCAAAGAATTCAACTACAACACGAAAGAAAAACAACTTTGAAAGGCTTAAGAACTCTAATCGATGCAAGGACACGTCAATGTAATGATCAAACACTGCGCTTCCCACCTCTTGACAGGAAGGTGTTGAACTCAAGGTGAAGAATAAGACATATATTTTCAGATATTGCCAATGTATTGCCTGACTACGCTAATGTGCTACAAGAGCAGAGCAGATTTTTTGGGGGGGAGGGAAGGAGAAAAAGATACTGAATTGTGATAACAACGGCAAAAAGACAGCAAATAGCGTCAGTGAAGATTTTTGAAAATGGGTCACGGAGATTAGGAGGTTCAGAGGCCACATAACCGAGCGAGTGAGAGAGCTTTGGAACTAACATGCTGAACTAAGTATGTTCTTTAAAAACAACAATAGGCTGTGTGTGGTGAGATCTGTGATTTCACATATCTTTTTTTCTGATTTTCTTCTTTTTGCATGCAAATGTTCATGTTTGTTAGTGTTTGTTGAATTCAGAATAACAAAACCTTTTTTATATAAGATTTCATTCAGGAAAGACTAGTGTCTACATGGCAGAAACGTTAGAGAACACCACCGTTACCCTCTTTTGTTTCCTGTGAAGCTAAGAGAAGTTGATATTATTTAGTGTAGGTTCCCCACCACTGCTCTAGTGCCATTAAAACCCCAAAACGAGATACTGGGAAGGGACCTACCCAGTGCTTTTATTACACATGCCTGAGGCTCATTGGGTGAAGAGAATCATTCGACACTATACAAACATACAAAAGGGCTGCAATAAGGATGCCAGCAACATGTGAAAATTAAAAGGATTTTATTGACTTTATATGCTTTTGCAGAAAAGCCTTGACACGTACAAGTTAGACATCAGGGAAGAGATTCATATACAGTATATCTCACACAGCAATTTTTGAACTTTGGGTCAGACAAAATGTTCATTTCAATAGGACTTCCATGTTATTACAGACACGAACAAAATTGGTACACTACATTTAAAAATGAAATCGTACAGAACTGGACAGAGTACCCCGCTGTATGTCAACCTTAACATCTCAACATGCACCACTTTCACATGGCCTCAGAAAGATCTGCTGTATGTTTATTAAAATATTGACTCAGAAAATGCATCTGAGGTCACATGTGATTGCTTATAAAATAAAACCTCTTTTCCTAGTGCTATGTGTTTCATTATAGAAAAATATTTTTTAAAAAAAATCAGTGCTCTTCAAGGTGTTTATTTCAAAACTAGAGATCATGCAGTCCAAAGAACAGGTTCAATGCAGTGATTTTTTTCTTTCCCATACAGACATCATTGTAACGCTTTATCAAAACTGGATTCTTGCTCAGGCGTACACATCAGCCGCTACCAGACCGGCCGCGTCACAGTCTCCTGGGATTCACAACTGATTACAGAGGAGCATACATAGAACATTTTCAAATGTTGGGTACACACGTTCATGGTTTGTTCCTAGATCAATAATCAGAAAAACTGCTGGAGTAACCATACTAGAATTAGGAGAGAATGACCAGAGTCCAGAGCTCTTCCTGAAGCAGGAAGGAAATTAATCTGAACCCTGTAACTCTCCAGTAGAATTGCTTATCATACACAAATATTAATACATTGGTTTCACGATTGAGTTCCTATTAGGAAATGATTCAAATTGTAGTCTGTGTCCTCTTTTCTTCACTGGGCTTGAGTAAGGTACCAGATCAAAACAGTGATATTTCACCAAAGACCACTGAGCACTGTTAGAATGAGTCAATTTTCTTTTTTCTTTTGTAATTAACTTTTATACGAACATTTAGAGTCTAAAGAAAAGAGGTCTCTCTAATAAGCCACATACAGCAGTTTTATATTTCAATGTTTCTTTCTCACCATGATATACAATGTATACCATAAAATTAGTTTAAGACAAATACTTGTCACTTAAACCTATGTAGGCACATGACAATTCATTCCAACTTTACTTGAGGGGTGAGATCTTCAGGGGTATCATGATTCTCGACTCCATTTCCTGAATTAGGGGCACTGAAAAGAAGGCAGAGATGCAGTGTTGATCTTAGTGGTATAGCGGGCTCATTCTTCCCAGCCATGCTTTGCCATATCTCAAATATATTATAACATGGAGTTTTATGTACAAATAAACAAATAATACCATCCAGAATGTTCTAGGTGGCATAATGGGTAGGGTCAGAAGGACCTGAGCTGGGATCTGGCCTCAGACATTAGTTGTGTGATCTTGGTGGAGTCACTTTACCTCTGCCTGCCTCAGCTTCCTCATCTGTAAAATGGAGAGAATAAAAGTACCTACCTCCCCAGGCTGCTGTTAGGATCAGATGAGTTAACACATGTCAAGCGCTCTGTCAACATTAAAGCTCCGTACGCTTGCTAGCTAACGTTATTATTTCATTGTCTCGAAACAGGAAGGAATGTTGCAGTCTGCCAGAATGATTGCCTAGGATTAGGAGTCTGGAGCTGAAAAAGGCCTCAGGAGCCACTGTGTACACCCCGTTTTATAGAGGAGGAAACTGAGGCTCAGGGAGATTCAAAGACTTGTCCAAGGTCACCCAGGTAGGAAGTGTCAGAGGCAAGTTCTCTAGTCAGTCTGGAGCCAGCCCTCCTGCCAAGGATGGATCTGAGTGTCCTACAAGTGTCTACCAAAGGAGCTCCTGGTTGAGGCTCCACATTCATGTACAGGAAATAAGAGCCACCACAGTTAGGTGGTGGTGGGGGGAAGTGGGGAGAGCTTTGTCGTCAAACTCTTCTCCAAACTAAGGTGACATTATATAAAATGACAAAGCAACCCCAGGGGACATTTGCAGTTATATTTGTATGGTGTTGCGCCATGGAGACAAGAACAAACATTCTGTACACATGGGTTTCATAATTACCAAAATTTACTTCATTGTCCTAAACTGTAAAGAAGATAAGAAGGGAAAAACAAGCGAACTTACATCTAATTATGAGCAACGTATTTAGCTTTCACTAAAAATATCCAGTAATGGCCCCATTTGCTCTTCTCCTCCTAGGAAATACAAGATGGCTAGAAGGGCTCTCTCTTTTATTTTATTTTATTTTTTTGGTAGGCAATTGGGGTTAAGTGACTTGCCCAGGGTCACACAGCTAGTAAGTGTCAAGTGTTTAGTCCGAGGCCAGATTTGAACTCAGGTCCTCCTGACTTTAGGGCCGGTGCTCTATCCACTGCACCACCTAGCTGCCCCTCTTTTATTTTCTTAATGGTGAAAAATCTGCACATACAAGCTCTAGGTTAGCAATGTTGTACAACCTTCTATAATGTTATTAGATAATTATTCCTAATAATAATTGTCCAAGAGAGTCTGGCATCTTATCCACTTGCATTACATTTATTTAAGCTGTTTTCTCTTAAAAACAAGTGAATACTGTATGCAGGCAATCTTTTCATTGAATGATTACCCTAATTAAGTTTAAAATTTTCAAAATATGTTTTTCAATTGGCATGACGATGAGGCATGTTCTAAAGGTGGACAAAGTACAATCAGGAAGTAGGTGCTTTAATCATCTGCCTTTTCAGAGAAGACATCACAAGATAAGAAATTGACATGCCTTAGCCAGCTGTAAAACTATCGGCCAATTCAGATTTTTGAAAGAATGCCTTTGAACCAATGCTGCCGCTGCATGAGGCCCAGTCAAACATGCAGCACGAGGGAAGCTTTTACCTGTATAATACACCAGCTCTTCCCAGCCGTGTTTATGCCACGCTGCATTCCGGGTGTCTTCCCTGGACTGCAGATCTTTGTAAGCTTGAAAAGAAAGACACGGAAGCCAGCTTTAAAACCACAGAAATGCCCTATATTTCCTCACCACGTCCTTGAGAATTTATTTCAACTTGTTTGCTGCTTTTGTTAAGTGACAACAAGATTAAGGGAGAGCTGGGGAATTCGGTTTAAATGCAGTGCCCAATAGTGAGAGTCTGCGCCATTCCTTCATAGTTTTGCTCACCCAGCAGTACTCATTGTCTTATGGTGTGTGGCAATGTGCCTGTTGTTCTCACTGCAAGGCATTGTGGGAGATACAAGGATGAATGCAGCATCATTGTCACTGACCTCCAGGAGTTTATATCTAATAGAGAGGAGGCCACCTTCAAAAGCTTCATGTGCAGAGTGGTTATACTGCAATAGAACTAGAGTTATTTTGGAAATAGTTTTCAGAGATATGGACTATCATTATTTATAAGGACAGCTATGGGATAACATGGTAAAACAGAACCATAGTTCTATTAGAAACTGAACAATTGGTTAGCAGATTATAATGCCCTGTTCTCCCAAGGGAAAGAGGTGGTCTGAACGCCAAGTTCACTTCTTCCACGTGTGAGATGGAGCTCCTCGGGGGATGGGACCATTTTTGCCTTTCTCTGGTAACGCAATCGATTAGCTCAGTGCATGGCACATGTTTGTTGATTTGACTTTAAAAAGAATTTAAAAATCATCAATAAATAAGGTAAAGCAAGAGAGGACATGGATATCGTACTTTAAACATCACTGAAAGGAGAAAGAATGTCATCAGAAAACAGGATCTGATCATTATAAAATTCAATGGCAAAATGGGCAATGCCAACACATAACTTATTTGCACAAACTCAGGCCACCTCTAGACCAGCCTTCCTGCTCTTCTACGCTCCTGGAACGGCTCTGAACCCACGGCTTTCCTCTCCCCCTAAAACAGAGGTTGATGAGGGTGAATAAGTTCCCCAGCGCCGGCAAGAATAACTGTTCCAGCTCTATCGTCGATTAGATTTGTGACCTTCAACGGCGAACTGCCTCATGTTTCTGAGGCCTCAGTTTCTCCATCTGTAAAAAGGGGATCGAATTGGATTGTCTCTAAGGTCCCTTCCAGTTCTAACTATGTCTGGATCTGCTAAAGGCCTTAAGCCCAAAGGTTATGTTGGACACATTGTGATTGATTGGTTTCCACAGGTGAAGAGAGAAATGCCCTGCTTGTCTGATGGTATCTATAATGGCCAGTCCTTTCTGGAAAAACCAGGAAGAGTGGAAGAAGAGATGGAAAAGAAACGAGAAAAAAGAGGAGAGCAGCAGTGGTCAGAGGTGGTGGCAATCCTAACAAGTGGTTACTGGTGGTGCCAAGTAAGCAGCCACTAAGAGCAGGAAAAGAAGAAAGCTAGGAAAGGAGAGGGTCTAGGAAAGCGGGGCAATTGGTTCTTTGTAGCTCAAAAGCCCTCGGAAGGCACAGGCCACATCTGCTTGGGACAGGCGAGAATACAGCCACCTGTTCTGTTCTGTACGACGACAGCCTCAAAGACATGGCCCACATCTACACTGCTCACTGTGCTGCCTGACTTTGGCCACTGGCGCCTCAGAGAAGGCAAGCCCTAGCACCAAACACTGGGGCAGCATGGGAGGCACAGATTCCAATTTTCACCCAATCGATCGATCAATCAAGAAGCATTTATTAGGTGCCCACCACATGCCAGGCGCTATGCTAAGCAGTGGGGATTCAGAGAAAGGCAAGAATACGTCTCTGCCTTCAAGAAGTCGCATTCCAAAAGCAGACCTGACAAGGAAAGGCCATGCCCCCAAAAGACAGGAGGGGAAGTGAAATTCTTTGCAGATATTGACTCATCCAGTTATGAATCAGTCCCACGCGATGTAATCACCTCAATCAGAGATGCTATTGTTTGGCCGGAAGGCTCTCCCTGAAGGCCTCCAGGCAATGCTCCTTGAAAAGGCAGATTTTTTTTTTTTATCAGCAAAGGCAATGGACCAAGCAGCACATAATCCTCCAAGGGGAACTTTAGTCATGGCTGAGATAATGTACAAGACTGTAACACAGCAGGTGCAAAACAGCAGATCAAGACAGTGCAGAAGAATGTTGTGACTTTGAGGGACAATTCATTACTGGGCACCCCATCCCCTGAACAATCTTCTCATGTTTCTGAAACCTGCTTACTTTGGCAATACTTACTAATTAACCTGATAACCAATGAATGGTCAGAACCAGCATTGGTCCCCATGGGATGTTATAAGAACTAGAGGGAGGCCTCCAGTGTACTGGGTCAACTTTCATGAAGGAATTATGGGAGCTGAGGGACAAGAGTTTACAAGATGAGAAGGCGCGGATCTACAGCAATGAAAGCAGGCACATTATGGATAACATAACCAACAGATCCACGGAGGATTTCCAGGAACTGTCAACTTGTACCGGGGAAGGCCCATGCTATGGAGCTTAAGGCCCCTCAGGTTTTAAGCAAAATAAAGTCAGATAAACTATTCTTTCATGTGTTACCTCTGCAGGTTTCTATAATAGAAAACCCCTCACAATTGGCAAATTTCATCACTCTAGAGCTTTCAAGATGTCACACATTTACTTACCTATTGCTTAATAGAGGACAAGGTGAAACATGAGCAGACAGAGACTATTTTTTGAACTAATGCTATTATCTTTCTGTACTTTCAGCAAAAGATTATTTCAGAACTATAGGCTGATTTGAGAATAACAAGGCTATCTGACTGCTTAACAACTATGGTTCTCTTGGAGGAAGAAGGGTTAGCGTTGGGACACATGTCTCACCATCTTCCCTCCACCTGATGTTACTTCACTGATAAAACCAGTGAGAATAGGAAATGATATTCAAGAGAGATTTCATGATAAAATGATCCATTATGAACATATTTCAAAAGCCTTTCAGCTATTATAGCCCTCATGATGCACTTTTAAAACTGATTGTACTTGGAATTCTTGTAAAAGCCAAATACTAAGGAGGAGTTTGAGAAGAATGTGCTCAGCTGATCCATCAGTAAAGTGTTATCTTCTGACAATGAATTTGTCAGTCCTGCTCCAGATGCCCTGGCACCAATCCTTGTCATGCTGACAGATGCCCCTCTTTCATGCCAAACAACAAACTTAGTAGGAGAAGATGAGCACAAGCCCACTGACATAGGTGGAGTCTTTTAAGTTAATGATGGAGAAATTACAGATGGTGTTTGAAACAGCACTGATGGGTCAAAAGACCATAATGGAAGCAGGGAAGACTTTCTGTACATCGATAAAGCCATTTGGAACAAGGTCACATTAGCCTTGGATTTATTACTTAATTTTGCAGAAATGTAGTTCTCCATATTTTGCTGCCTGAGTGGTCACACTTCTGTACATGTTCCACTCAACTTTTATGAGAAGGGGGAAAAGGAGCAAAATATAAGCTAATATTTAGGGATTTTTTTCATGAAGCAAGATTTTTTAAAACATTAATTTATTTTTATTCAGAACTCAACAAACACCAAACAAAATGGGCATTTCCATATATACAGGAGAAGAGCAAAAGCAGGTGACCTTACGTGAAATCGCAAGTTTCTGCCACGTATAACTTGCCTTTCTTTTTAAAAGTATATAACAAATTCAACCTGTAGCTGTGAAAGCAGACTCTGAGACCATAGATGGGGTCAGTATTCCTTCCCTGCCTATGCTGCATGTCTGCTACATTGCATCCTCAGTGTATCAAATGCAGTAAAGCTCATAATGTCCTAGAATTATTAAGAAAAAGTTAAACTCAGGGCAGCTAGGTAGCGCAGTGGACAGAGAACTGGCCCTGGAGTCAGGAGGACCTGAGTTCAAATCTGGTCTCAGAAACTTGATACTTAACTAGCTGTGTGACCCTGGGCAAATCACTTAACCTCAATTGTCTCACCAAAAAAAAAATGTTAAACTCTAAGTCAACTCTGTTAATAAAGCAAGGAAGTATAAAGTACATTTTTTTTTAAGGCAACTGGGGTTAAGTGACTTGCCCATGGTCACACAACTAGTAAGTGCCAAGTGTTTGGTCTGAGGCCAAATCTGAACTCAGGTCCTCCTGACTTCAGGGCCAGTGCTCTATCCACTGCGCCACCTAGCTGCCCCCATAAAGTACATTTTTAAACATTCTCAGTGCAAAGGGTTAACTTTCAGCTGTCTGGAAATCTCCGCTGTCATTCCAGCACAGCGTTTGCTGAGGGTTTTGGGGTAGCATGGTGTGCATCATTTAGTTCACTAACCAACATACTTTAACGTTTTGGTCAATTGGCCAGGTCCAGGGATGGGCTCCTTAAAATAGCTTCATTTGTTGGTTAACTGAGTCAGATGTGCTTCTGTTTCACATCCTGCATCTTCTTCCCCCTTTTCCATCATCACCCTCTCTTAAATATGCTGCCATTTTAATGGCCTTCATTCTCTCTCCACCCATGTGCTTTCTCCATCTCTACCACCTCTTACAGTTTTCCCTGCTTTGTTCACTCCCTTTGGCTGCCAATCAATCATGGTGCCTGTTTAACTGGTGGGGCTTCTGCCTATTGACCCAAACAGCCCTTTACTGTTAACTTCGTATCTCTGGGTCCTCTTGATCTTGACTCCCATCCGTTATAAGTAGATTGGCTGAAGGAGAAGGGGCAGCAAAGGCTTCCCTTTATTATATCCCCCATGTACCATCATGCTCATGTGGGAATGTACCCATACCATGCATCCCAGTGAATCTGGGTCTAGTAAGAGAAGAAGAAAAAGATTCTTACCCCAAAGATGATGTACCATATATAACTGCCCAATCTGAGAGAAAAACCCTCCAACTGCTTCATCATTGTCCTGCCTAAAACGAATTGCACGAGCCCTAAAAGAGAAAATAATTTCCATTCACTAGATTACATGTGAAAAAGGGGAAGTAGATGGAATGTCCTCCAAATCACATGACAATTATATTACAAGCAGGGCTAAACACTACCAATCCCCACATGGCAACAAATATTACAGTGGTGGTAAAATAGTAAGATTTACCTTCTCTAGCCTGCAAATGGTCACTTTCCTAGACACTGTTGTCTCTTGTAAACAGCACTGCCATACCTACTGCTGTCACCTGCACTGGCAGGACAACTGAGTTTAAGAATTTTCCGATGAGCTTTAGTAACCTAAGACTTATTTCTAAGTGCTATGAAACATGTGACTATTACCTGTCAAAATATATAATTGCTCTCTTATATGATAGGCTTTGAGTTCCTAAGAAAAGAGAATGTTCTTAACATACATGTCCTTCTCTCTCCCAAATCAGTTTTTCAGAAGAGTATTACAACTACCCTTAAATTTAGAATTTTTCAGGGATCAATTTTCTGTCAATTAAAAGCAGTAATTCTGATCAGCAAATTAATGAAATTAAACAAATTATTTTAACATGCAGAGTGCCTTCTATCTTTCATTTTAAGTGACAAACATTCATTCTTATTTAGTTTTAAATTCTTCTAATTCATTTAAGGTAAGTGAAGAAAACTTACACTCGGCTGAGCCTGACAAAATGGAGAAGGGCATACTGAAGGAGTCACCACCTTAAACCTATTTGTTAAGAGAGAAATCAAATGCCGAACGAGCTCTTAAAGTACATTTGCTTTTGGAAAGAAAACTCTTATTGCTAAGATATTGGAGCTGGAGGGAAAAAAAACCATTTCCCATATATATATATCTGGCTTCTATATTAACAGTCTTAAATTAGCAATTTATAAAATTTATTTAGTAACTGAATCTGTTCTAAGATTGACCAAATAATCATATTTGTTAGCAAAACACCAGAATACAAAAGCCAACTGAGTAACTTCTATGCATACGTGTTCCTAGTCGACAAATCAAATATTATGACTCGCATTATTTAGCCTTTGGCGGATCAATTTAAAGAGTCACTAGAAACCAATGTGGTGGAGTTTATAAAAGATTAAGTGAGCTGAATTATAGGTACAATTCACAGCAGAGTCTGTAGGAGACCAAGTTAACATATTGGCAGCTAACTTATGGAAACAGCATTTCCAAATTAAAAAAACTTTTTTTTATAAAGGCAGACATTCATATGCACATACTCACAATCCTTAGGCCAAAGTAAATGGAACTAAACTGATGTTTACTTCCGAAAGACAGGGAATAAGGAATAATCTTGAGTTAAATTAGCAACTACGCTTTCATGGCTCTTGAAAACTATTTTGGGTGAAATACCTTTGTAATTGACACTTCTCCAACCATTTTCTACCCTAAAAATTCTTTACAGCCTAAAGATTCAGAAAACAACTGGCCTGGAAAATATCAGAAATTTTACATTGAATGTTGCTAGAACCAATGACTAGCAGTAATGTAAAGTGATTAGTTGGTTTCCTATCTCCAAGCAAGAATATTACCCTTGAATTAGATAAAAATAGGTGATCTTTCTGAAAGATCCTCAGAGATGAAAATTCCATAACCTTTCTTCAAGGTAGCAATAGCATTTAATCATCCCATCACTGGAGTTCTTCTTTATTTCTAAACCTAGATCTCCCCCAGCAATTTTAATATAATTTTCTGTCTCTGTCCTAGCCTCAAAAATGTTAGTCAGGGCTTTCTTATACGGTTGATTCCATGTTAAAAAAAAAAATTGAAAGCATGAAAATCCAACATGTAAAAGCAGATACAGTAGAGGAGGATTATTTACATTGTAAAAAGATTCACACTAAGTGTGCTTTAAATGGCCAGTGCCATTTATATACTTGTAACTTTGTTTGTCCACTACTTTACTAGAGAGAAGAAGGAAGAGTGAGAAGTTCCTGCCAACTGAAGATAATATGGAAATGGAGATGTCATTTACTCATAAAGTCACAATGAAGGTAATGGGAAAACAGGATTTGACTCGCCTCTTTTTTTTCTACTGACACATTTAATTCTACAAAGTGAGGCAAAGGTCATAACCCGCCATAGATCTGAAGACTTAAGAGATCATTCTTTCATTTACATACATTCAATTCCCTTCATCTTTTCTCAAGTCTTGACTACCACTCCTCGTTCACTTTTGTTGCTCGTTTTTTCTATCTGCTCAGTTCTCTGCATCCCTCTTAGAATGTCCACACCAAATCTGAGCCTCACACTCTACAATGAAAGCCTTCCAATATAGTAAAAAGAATCCCTACCAACTCTCGCATGTCATATTTCCATTATCATGTCAGCATGATGGCACTGTTCTTGCCACAGACATTTAGCTCCTGGCCCACTCTTATCTAAAGGTCTTTTACAGTCCTACTTGTGTCTAGCCAGTCGTTTCTCATCTTGAATCTACTGAAATTAATTTTGCTTAATCCTTAAATATTGTACCTTATATTTCCCTTGAAGGGAACTTCACCTTGTTTTTGGTAGATAATTTTGGTCAGCAAAACTTTGAATTATATTCTTGTCTGCTGAGGTATACCACCACCTAACTTGGTAAAGAAGTTGGTTCTTTGCTACTCAATCTAAAAAAGACAAACAAGGGTAGTAGCCACATGAGTGAGAAAATATATTTGTGAGTGAAAGCAATATTTTAGGAAAGATGAGGTCTGTGAAAATGCAAAAAGAATTCCTAAAACTAGTGCCAAACCCTGACACAGAGAGATGAAAGGATGGCCCAACACAATCCATTAGTAAGACTGAGAAACTCACCATGCTGCCGTCAACTTACCAATAGTTGCCCCATTCGATCATTGTTCCTGGCTGAAAGAAAACATTTTGTTTTTGGAATGTTGGATCTTAGACTGAGGAAGCATTGCATTGAAGAATACAGTGAAGCCAACTTGTTCAGAGCTCTCTTTAAAAAAGACAAACTTGATTTCTAATAACTATTATCCACTTTATTCACATTTCCTCTACTTAGAACGGCCATCTGTGGCTTAATTCAAGGCAAAAATGTATGGAGAGTAAAAACTTCAGGATATTTGCTTTAAGCAAATATCCGTTTTTACACACACAGACGTGTTCCACTTCTGTTGTATCTTTAGCCTCTTCATAGACACAAAATAAGACTATTACAAATTCAACAAGAAATTCTATTTTTTTTTCATATTTTGGGAAAAAAGACTAGGAATGTGCTCTAGGTTTCTAGTAAGAAGAAGTATTATTTGAGACCATGATCCAATTGATACAGTCACAAACAGTAGTAATCCATGTGATCTATAGTTGAGTTTTCTTTAGGCCTTGGCATGGCGACATTTGGGAAAACCTCCTTCCCAATGTGATGGCGTTTCAGTACGTTCACACTGAAGCTACTATAAATTGGCCATCTGATCTTTATTAGATCCTCTCATCTCACTGGAATAAGTGCTATAAAAAGTGATTTCAAATGAGCTCCCTGTTTTAGGCCTTTCCGCTTGAATAGCTCAGAAATGCTATCAAGAGACACGCCAAAGAATGGACATTAAGTTAAAATACGGACAGGAAGACTAAGAGAGAGGAGTGATGGGGGGACAGAGGAACCAAAAGGAGAAGTCCAGCCAGGATCGCTCAAGAGGCCGAGGCAGCAAGTCTGGGCAGGTTCGGACGCCCACATGCCTCTGTGGCTTCCCTCCCCTCCCCACCTCTGGCTCGTGTCACTGTCAGAAGACCCTGCGGTGCTTTCCAAGGAGAACTGAGCAGTGGAGTGTCACTCATTTTCGTACTTACTCTAAGTTGGTAAGACCTGAGTTCATATATATTAGGCCCTGGTCTGGGGACAGGTTCATTCCAGAAACTGAACTCCAACAGCAGCTGGTTCTTTCGAGAAAGCAGCATGTTGCCCCTTTCCTTACGGAAGGCCACAAATTCCTTTGAAAGAAAGTTGTCATGAAAATTTTAAAATCAGACGCATAGGTAAGTACCCATTAACAACTCGAACTCTTTGCATCCCATCCAGGCTACACTCACCAAGTTCAGTTTTCCCCAATAAATCACATCTAAACTTCAGGAGAATAAACTTATCAATATGTGACAATCCATATAAAACAGGGCTCACTTGGGGGAATCACCAAGAAAGAGTGCCTACATAATCCAAAGCTTGCCATGCTAACGATGTGCCCATGAGGGCAACAGTTCTCAACCTTTTCGTTCTCAGGACCCCTGCACACTCTTAAAACAAAGCTTGTTCATGTTTTTTTTTATATCTATTGATACTTGCCACATTGGAAATGAAAACTTCTTAGTATTACTATGAGAAATTTTGACCCTGAAGAGCCCCTGAAAGGATTGTGGGGAATCCGGAGGAGCCCTTGGCCCATACCTTGAGAATACTGCATTAGAGCAGTATTCCAATGAGTTTGCTTACACCTGGGGCTCAGGGGGAGCAGCCGGGCTGCCCGCTGAGGGGTAAGAAGCCAGCCCAGGATTAAAAACATGCCATGAACAATGCACAAGGCCATTATTTTGCTTGTTGATATCTAAAGCAGACATACTATGAACATTTCAAATGAAACCTACAATTTCTAAGATACAACTCACTCTTGCCCTAAGAACTCAATCATTTTAATGTCAATACAGACACTATTTTAAAAAACTGCAAATCAAAGCTCACAAAGAACACCATTTTTAGCAGAAAAACAGAAATTGCTGAAGACGCAGAGAAAAGAGCCACTTAATCTAGACTAACAAGTAGCATTTGAAATTAGAATGAGCAAACATTTTTTAAAAATCATACCTTATTTTCTCTGAGCTTACTCATGACCTCATTGAGGGCTGGGTAGCCTCCCTCATACCTCCAGAGGTGGACTGAAATATATTTTTAAAAATACATATACATTTAGAGGTTCATGATAATAGCTCAGCTGATTTTAAAATATGTTACACATACAAAGTTGACAGTACTAAATTGTAAATATGCACAAAAGTCAGTCTAGGCATACAAATGATCAAAATAAACTTAAACATTTAAAGGCAATAAAAAATTGTTTCAAACCAGAAGAAACAGTATATTTCCTTGAACCACGAGTCCATACGGTGATTTTTAAAAGTCTTCACTGCAACCAAGCATTATGTCTGAAAATTACTTGTGCAATTACAACGAAGGTTTCAGGGACAAGGAACAGCATCAAGTCTAGGTTCTAGGAATTATTCTTAAGATTCCTCACCAGCCTGATCTTGTTCTCCGTACCATGTATTCCAAGTCCCCACCAAGGTACAAGGGTAGTGTTTTTCTTCATGAATCTTTGGCAGCACCTCTTGACTTAAAAAAGAAGAAATATAAATTCTGTGTTTTCAATTGGCCTAGTCAATCAACTAGCAACATTTCACTGAGAACTCAGTAATGTCTGGCCCCGCGTTAGGGGTCCTGCTAACTCATTAAAGGCACCATAAACACATTTATACATTTTGTTGGAGTTATCAGCAGAATTAGCATTTTTGGATCATTTCCATTATCTAGCCACACCTTCCTTGGATGTCTGGCACCCTTCATCACTAGGCTAGAGTAGTTGTCTTTCTCACATCCATGAGCTGTGACCAAAACAAGAGCTGGGGGCCCAAAGATGATGGGTTGCACAGGTCAGAAGAGGGAACATTTACGATCATGTGATCACTGATGCTTATAAATGCTTAAGTGTGTGGGTGAGACAGTCAAGAACCACGGGAAATGTGACTTAAAGAGAATAGTGAAGAAGGGAGAGAGAAATCGTGGATAACCAAACTGAGGGGGGGCAGGAAGCAGCTCTGAGGCTCCTGACAACCGGGGGAGGGGAAGTGAGAGCCAAGAGCCGAGAGGCAGGAAGAGAATCAGCCCCCGTGAGAGGGCAGGCACCTGGGAACCTTCTGAGCCACTGCACTCTCTCCGCACAGCAACAAGGGCCTCAACCACGGGGGAACCCTAAGTACAATGACCACATCAGCAGGACAGGCCGTGAGCACTGAATCCCAGGGCAAGATCGGTGTTGTGCATTCTGATGACATTAGTCTGATTAGTTCTATGGGGCTGAACCAATCTCTAGAGACCTGGGGACGCCATACCTACGTCCTTACTGCTGCTGCTGTTAGCAGTGATGTGGATGTTTGGTGTTTGCCATGTGTTCTAGGTGAGAGGAAGCCTGGCGTGACAGACAGAGTTGGACTTTGGGGGCAAAAAGGTCTGGCCTCTGCTCTTGCCTCTGACACTTTCTAGCTGTGTGCCTGCCTGTGGGTGATCAACTAATCTCTAAGCTTCAGCTAAAAAGTGGGTGGTGACTGGATTTCCATGCTCTACCAATGAGATCACAGATGCTCAATGTACTGAAATATGTTCAAGGTACTTCCTAAACTGTGACAATGAATTTAGAAAGTCATTCCTCCAGGGTTAGGAGAGGAAGAATCATCATGGACCCCGTGGTCCAGGTCACAGGACTCTCCTAGGTTTGTAGGCAGAGGATCTAGATGAAGGCAATCATGACAGCCATTAAAGCTTGAAGTCCAGGTGAAAGATTTGTTTGGGCAGAAGAGGGACGGAGGGAGTGCAGACCAAAGGTTTGGTGAGGAAGATTCCAGATGGACTACGAAAGCCCAAAGCTTTGCCAAATCAAATCCACTGGCTAGAAACCAAGAGCCTGGTCTAACGTGCAGCCCAGGCAGCAGTGGGTTGGCTGATTTTAAGATAAGACTGAGAAGCAGGAGAGGGTTAGGCAGTTCAAAGAAGAGGAGCTTGGGGAGAATTAGGTTTTGTTCTCCTGTAAGTATGCATGTAAGGCTTTTATGATTTTTTCCTTTTGAAAAATTCTCATTATCTACTGTACGTTTCCTTCTAATGTTTTCTAGCAAAATCCATTAAAAACACCCCAAAAGAAGGGCTATCTGCTCTTTTGCAGAGGAAGGGAAGGGGGACAGCCAAGGTCTGTAGCCTCTCCTGTAAGCTAACCTGGGTGGGATTTATCTGAGCTCAGACAGACACAATGCTGAGGCAGCGACGCAGTACAATGTAAAGAAGAGAGCGCTGAATGCTGTCAGAATACTTGGGTTCAACAGGCAGTTGGGTGGTACAGTGGACAGAGTCAGGGAGATCTGAATTCGAATCTTGCCTCAGATACTATAGCTGCGTGACCCTGGGAAAGTCACTCACCTGTCTCTGCCTCAGCTTCCTCCTCTATAACAGAGGGAGAATATTAGCACCTACCTTGCAGGGTTATTGTGAGGATAAAATGAGATAATATTCGTAACGTACACTGTAAACTTTAAAACTCCATATATAAAATATTGATATATACAAATTTATAATAACGTATTATACATTATAGTATGTCTAATAATATAAATTTATACATACTTATAAAATATAAAACAAAACCCATAATCACTGTGTGACCATAGGAAGCCCATTGCCTCCTCCTCAGACTTTCCCAAGGCCGGAAGTCTGGAGCCCTCCCTGCGTTCTAGTAATGTCATATTGGAGGCTTGCCGCGGCTTGTAGGTTTCACCCGTTCTAGAGCGGGGGCAAACCAACACAGAGAGAGCAAGCCTTGCGGCCTGACCCTGGTGTTCAGTCTGTATGCCAGATTTCCTCTAGAGAAGGCACGGAAGAGAAAATACAGACCTCCGCGTGCGTGACCAGAATGTGGCTGGAGGAGGACTGTGAGGGATGACCGCAACACTGGCTCTTGTTAAAATGCAGGCTCTTAGAATGCACAATACAGCCCAAAGTCTCAGGAAGCGCAGCTGATCAAGTCCCTGCAGAGGCTGAGTCAAACAGAGCTTCTGCATGCCATATACCATGGAAGCGGGCATCCTGAAGGTGGGCTCTATGACTTCATTTTTTTTTTAAACATTTCACTGACTTCTGGTTTCCTTTGTTCTCCTATGTATCATGTTTTGAGCAGGATTCTGAGATGGGGTTTATTGAGTACTTTAAAGAATATTACCCTCATGGTAACACTAGGAAGTAGGTTAAATTATTATCCTTATTTTACAGATGAGGAAACTGAGGCAGACAGAGGTGAAATGACTTGCCCAAGGTCACAAAGCTAGTGAATGTCTAAGGCTGGATCTGAACTCAGGTCCCACTGCCTCCAAGTCCTGGGCTCTGTCCATTGTACCGCCCAAGCGGTCTGTGAGAGAGAAAAGGCTTGGAACTCCTCATATGGAGGATGTTTTACATGACTTGCCCTTGGTGAAAAGAGAAGAGAAAAATCAAGATTTCCAACTACCTGTGTCTGGTAAATGAAAAATCCAAAGATTTTTATGAGCAAGTGCAGTTGATTGAGAATTGTTTGTTTTCTGAAACTTCATCTTTTCAAAGTGTCACACAACATTAGAAAGCTAAATGAGATTGGACAAGGAGGAATCCATTAACCTCCATAACCACTCTGTGTGTATTATGGGGAAGATATGTGTGTTCATAGAGCATTCTGATCAGCCAGGTGCTACAGCTCTCAAAGAAGAGAGAAGCACATTTATGGGGTTATGCATTCCTTATCCTAAGAAGATGCAGATCTGCCTGCCTAGACGGGAGACTTCATTTTTGGGAAGAGGGGTCCATGAGCCAGGTAAGGTGGACCCAGATTATAAAGACTAGAGAAGTTAGGCAGAAGAGTTCAGCCTTGATGAAGCGGGACATTAGGAGCCACTGCAGATTTCTAACCAGAAAAGTTACATGCCAAACATTGGAGTCTGCACATTAGTATTGGTTAGGAACATTAGTCAAAAAAGAAAATGCTAGATGGATTGGGCCAAGGACCAGCTGAGTCAGAAAGGTTATGAGGCATGAAGCCAAGGATTATGGTTCTTGCCATGGGCATCAAGAAAAAAAGATGTGACAGCTAGTCCTTGGTGACTCCCTCGATACCGAAGATTAAGGAGAATTCTAACCCAAAGATAACTCTGAAGTTCTGAGTTCAAATTACTGGTAGGACCATGGTGCCATTAATAAAACTGGGACTTGGACTGGGATGGGGGTAGTGGAGAATAGAATTGTGGGGTCAGGAGTTGGAAGGGACCTCAGAGGCCATTTGGTGTAAACACCTAATTTTACAGATGAGGAAACTGAGGTCCAAAGAGCCATCTAATCCAAGCCATACTTGAAAAAGAATCTCCATTACAACTTGCCCCACAAGTGGCCATCCTGACTTAGCTGGAAGACCTCTACCACCACCCTTCCAAAAGGACAGACCTACATCCTGAGGCTGCCCATTCTAGTTTGGGATAGGTCAAACCATTAAGTAGACTTTCCTGACATCAAGACCAAGTTTGCTTCTCTGAAACTTCTATCAGGAGAAAGAAAATGAGTCTAGTTTTCGACAAAGTGAGTTTCAGAAAAAATGTGCCCAGGAAATTAGTCCAGAAAAACTTCAGGAAAATTTGTCCAGATTTAGAAGAGGTGAGTTTCAGAAATTGACCAGACATCTCAGTGGAAATGTCCGGTAGACCATGAGAGTCTGATAAGACTGGAGGCTCAGGTCTGGGGGGCCATCAGCTGAAAGGATGAGAATGAAGACAGAAGTAAATGGCTCCGGTGTGCTGTAGAATAGTGCTTTTGTTTAAAATACATAGGGATGAACAAGATAGTTGAATTTCTCTGAATAGCGTCTAATAAAAACAGTAACAGTTTTTACTATTGGAAATTTCCATGCTTTTCAAAACTCCTTTACTTTCTTTGAACCTTGGCAGAGGGGAGAGCTACAAAATCACTTTTATCATGTGCCCTTGTATATCATGAAGATGAATATGTTTTATGCAAAATTCATTAAAAGTCAATCAGACCAATTCTCCCACTTCTCCAAAGAGATATAAATTCTAAAGGAAGGTACAGGACTTTATACCATATGAGGTGATTTCCCTGTGCACATATACCTATCCCCCCCTTTCACTTTAGTAACCTCATCACATAGGGCTCAGTTTAAGGGTGTGTGCAAAAAGAGAAGAATAGAGCTTGACAGAAACGCTCTCATTTTCCTTCTAGCGATTTCCAGAGGAGCCGGCACAAACACAATTCACTCTCTCCCCCAAGTCATGGTTAATTTGGGCTACATACCAAATTTTGTTGTATGCTTCCAGGCATTCTGGCTTCACATTGTGAACTGCAATCAGGAAATTCGATAATAAATTTATGAACAAAGGAAGAAAATTCAAATATTAACATATAAAAAACCCCACTCACACTGTAGTTTGTACAGACTGCTTGTTTCTTTTTTGGCTAGGAGATTGGAATGAGCATCTTTTCTTGGGTCAACTTTCCGAACAAATAAAGATTTTAACCAACTATCTTCACGAGGTCTGGTGGTAGAAGTTGTCAGGCCCCTAGGAATGAACAAATGTGTCAGTACAGGTCGAATGAGAACTGCAAGGGCTTACATGTGTTTTAATTAAGTAGGGTCAAACTACTATATTATTTACAGAATAGAACATTAAATGTCCATCTCCCATACTTACTAACCATCTAACCTTAGCAGGATCACTTAACTGCCCTCAGCCTCAGTTTCCTCATCTGTAAAATGTGAATAACCTTGCAACCCCTCCTTTACTGAGCAAGTAACTTATAAAGCTTAAAATGCTTTACATATATGAGTTATTCAAACCATCTCGTTAATTATTGTAGTATTAATAAAGCTTATTAAAGTTATTCAAAGCATCTCATCAAATTATCTCACCTCATCTAATCAGCAGAGGCAGAGTACTAGCTTATCAGACTATTTTATCCCCAAAAGTGACATCCAAGTGGAATGAGAAAGACTTTAGCACACTGTGTTTCCTATCATAGCACCCATATATAAAAGTTTTTATATCAGAATTCTAGGAATATATTTCTCCTTCTAAAACAACCTTTGACAAAGCAAAATTTGCATGAAGAAAATGAAAAGTACCTCCAAAATGACTTTATGCTTCTGTCAGTCTTCCTACTCTAATTAAAACCTAGACACAACCATCAACACACAGAACAGACTGGATAAGTTCCATCTTCTAAATGAATTTCTATTGCAACAATCAGCCAACCAGTAAATCTCTACTAAGTCCTTAGTATGTGCCAGATACAGTGCTAGCCATACCTCTTTAGTACACACTGCACTGTCAGAGACCAGGCAGGTATTTTTACAAAGTGGTACCAATCACCAAACATTCTCTGCAAACCCCACTTCCACCATTTTACCAATCTGGTGGATCTTCTCTGTCTTGGCCCAAATCAATTACTATTCCCACGGGCTGGATCCTACCACCTACATGAAAACTTGGATTTCCACTGCCCCATAGATCAAGTTCAATCTCTCAGCCCAGGCTTGGAAATGTGATCCGTACTCCACCAGAAAAAAAGTATCAAATGAATTCTGAGAATTGCTCCTGGATATATTATTTGTAACTTCTTTCACTATCTCTCAGTAAAATTAATTCAACAAGTATTGCCTGACCTCTTACCATGCAGATGGCCCCATCACGGTAATTATCAATTTGCAGATCACAACAAATGTGCCTAAATAAAAAATTCTGGAGGAATTTTGTTTTTCCCTAAGAAAGCACACCATAGTATCCCAGGCCTATGCTGTAGGGTTCTCATGTAGGCTTCTGAATTGAAAGGAAATGAAGACAATGATGACTTAGTCACAGAGCAGCATGAAGTGTTATTTTGTATACTCGATAGCCAACAATAGCCAAGGAATCTGACAGTTGTGAGCAAAGTGTGGGAGGACAGGACAGCATAACTGGTAGCTGGCAATTAGGAAGGTGACCTTCAGGGTGAAAGAAACACAGAGAAGACACTCAAGGATACAAATTTCTCTCGGTTCCACAAGATAAATACACATGCTCATAAAATCACACAAATCTGTTCTTATTCAACATATCCACTACTATGAAAACTGTGTTTTCCTTATTCTTAATATTAACTTGTTGCTTTTACAAATTTACTGGATTTGTCTTCCATCACATTTAAAAAAGAGAGCCATTTAAAAGTCATTTAAAAAAATAAAGCTGCTTTGGACCTTAATGGCTGGCGCGCGCACACGCGCACGCGCACACACACATATCTATAGAATCTGCTCTCTTATTTTAATTTCAAATCTGTCTGAAGCCACATGGGACAGCACTTTGAAATATGTAGCTATATTACCACATGCAAACATAAAGACAGTGATAAGACTACTTTTTAAAATATCTAAAACATTTTGTTAAGATAGACTTGGGGTACTAGCAGAAAAAATGATTCTTAAAATCCTCACACTATTGAAAACAGCAAAAATTGTTCAATAAACAGAAGACTTACATTTTGTATAGGTTAATATTATATGTTAGAGAGTACCTTGTAAATATTTAGGATCTCTGCTACTGGCATACACACAAAAACCAAAACCAAATATTCTGGAGCACAATCTCTACCACATTTTTTTTTAAATAAAGTTTAGGTTTTTGTCTAATTTTTAACTTTTATTCTTAGCATCTATTAAACTTTATCAGAAATTTAAAAATTAAAACTGATCATCTTGAAGCCTAGTAAACACTGTTCTCTGCCTTTCGAATTTAAATTAGATCACTTGCCTTCTCGGAAATTCAACGATTTTTTTTTTGATTTACGTTTCTTTAGCAATTCCTTTGTATATAATAAGCACTTTGAGGAAGGCAGTTTTCCAAAGAGTCTGAGCAAAACGTCAAACATTTCCCTAAAAAATAAAGACATTCTCTGCCGGTTTATGGGAAAGGTTAGAATGAATCTCAGGATAGGAGCGCTGGATGTGAAATTAAGAAGCATTCAAATGAATGCAGAGGCATACATTTGGTAGTTGCAAGAAGGACCTTAGAGCATTATTTCACTGCCATGTTTATTTTCCTATTATTGTCTCCCCGCTCCGTGTGGTGTGTGTGGGTGCGCTAAATGAACCTGGCGATAACATATGCATGAAAAAGAGTGGGACTGGACAATATCTACACAGAATAAATGTGGTCCAGCTTTCTCAGAGGCCCGGAGAGAGACGCGATGCTAACTGGGGAGCTCCCGGAGAAGTTGCTCTGGTCAGTTACTCGGAATGCACCCACGTCAGTTACCCAAGGACCGCGTGTCCCCCGCGCTTGGGGCCCCCTCCGACCGAGCACACAGGCAGGCAGCTGTCTCCAGAGGGAGGCGAGGGCGGCCAGGGGGTTCGGGGGTTCGGACCTGCGGCCACAGCCTGAAGCCCGGGTCCGGGGAGGACAATGTCACGGTCAAGAGCCCGGGTGTCCGAAGACGTGTCAGTGCCTCGGACACTGGCCTGCCGGCCGGAGGATAACAGCGGCCAGAGCGGGGGTCAGCGGGCATGGAGCCGGACGGGCTTCTTCTCGGTCATGGCTCACGGTGGGGTCGGGCCAGGCCGCCCACTCCCACGGCCACGGTCACGGCCGGCCCCCGGCCCCGCGTCCCCTCCCTCCCCCTTGGCGTGGCCCGCGGGGGGAAGGGCCCTTCGTCCCCGCCCGGCTTCCGCCCGGGGCTGGCGGGGCGCTCGGGCCCCTGCGGGCCCCGAGCCGTGACCTTGAACCCTGGCCGGGGCAGGCGGGCAGTGGGGACGCCAGGTGTGTGTGGGGGCGCCGCTCGGTCCGAGGACGCCCGCAGCCTCACCCGCCCCGGCCGGGGTTCAGGGTCACGGCCGGGTCGGCCGGGCCCGCCGGGCGCTGCTCACCTGAGGGCCGGCCGCAGGCGGGGGGGCGCGGCCGCTCCCAGGGACCTCAGCACTCGCACCGCCATCTTGCTCTGGCGCCTCCGCTCGGCCCCCTTCCCCCCGGCCCACCGCCCCCTCCCCCATGCCAGCGCCGCTCAACGGAGGCCGAAGGGGCGGGCCCGGGCTAGGCGGCCTGCGCTGCGCTGCGTCGCGCCGCCACCAGGGGGCGTCCCGGAGCGCCGCCCCGCGGCAGCCGAGGGCAGCTGCAGCCTGGGTGCCTTTCAGTACGCTCGACCTTGGGGCGCGCGCAGGCCCCCTGGGCTCCCAGGCGCAGTCTCGTAAGGCAGGCGCTGCTGGAGACTTGGGGACTCCCAATGAAGCCGAGTTTGGGCGTGCAGCCCCGGGGGCCGGGAGGACCTTGGCTCAGCTCCTGCCCTGCTAAGCGTCCACATCAGCCCAGATGGGACATTTTGGGGGGAAATGTCTGATGTAGGGGGAATTTCCTTAAGGGGGACCTCCCTGTACGGATGGCACAAGGCAAAAAAAAAAAATAACCTGACTTAACAACGTACATGGATTAAACGTCAGTTCTGTCATGCCGGTGTTCTGATCGGTCCACCTAGAAGGGACACTTGCATTTCTTTGCAAAGTCGATATTTTATCATTCCAGTTTTTGATTTTGCATAGACTTCCTCACTAGTTAAAAGATGTCTGTTCCTTTGCCCTAAAATACATTGTTGTTGTTACATAGTTCAAATGAGAAATAATATATAGATCATTTTCCCTCAAGGGCTGAAGTCCCAATACTCCATGACCAAGCGACAAACAGAACAGTAAAACACCTCTGAAACTGGGCACTGCTGAAGAGTTGTATAACGTGGTCATAACATGTCACAACCTTCTGGCTGGGACACTGCAGCCCAGGGAGGTGGGCTCATCCGTAAGGGGCATAGCTCTCCTGACTCCCTGGGCCATCTCATCTAAAAAGGAGTCATCATTAAAAACAACCCTCGGCACTTTGGCTTGAAAACAAATTCCAGCCATGATTTTATCACTGAAAAAGAAGCCTCATTTTAGGTAATCTTATAAAGCAATGAACATTTTGTTTCTTGGAAACAAAAAATATTGTAAGGGTTCATTTTCCCCAACCTCTTAAAAGGTTTTTATTAATTCAGCTTAATCTGTGTAAATAATTTGCCCATAACATCAAATATTTTCTTTCCCTTTAGTATTAGAGGTGAATCACTAAAAGAAATCACTAAAAATAAAATTCAGTTAAGGTACTTCCAATATTTTACTATTAAAAGGATAATTATTTACAAACATGTTCCCCCTTCCCGCCCCCCCCCCCAGTTCCTATGTTATTTTAAATTCTGTGGACCATCAATCCTAATTTCAAAAACAGTTGGCTTATTCAATAATACAACAGGTTGCCATAAGCTCAGAGATTCTAACAAAGTGATATTCATATTGTTATTCCAATAAGGTGATTTGAAACAGTCACTATTGCTGTGAAAAACCATGTTCTTCAAAAGTCCCTTCCTTATTGTTCAGCTGGGAGTACTTCACTACAGAAGTAGGATGGCTGGAGAAAGCCTCCCCAACCAGTGAGGTCAGTGTGTCCTTGGCCGATGTCTTTGGGGCTTCATGCAGCTATGCTGAAGGAAGATCCAGTTCTTTCTGACTCGGGTTGAGTGGGGCAGTCAAGTGGCTTATCGGGCTTTCCAGGTATGTGGTTCCTGCACAGGGTTTCCCAGTAATTGGGTCGATGACTCTTCCAACTTTGAAGACGATCTCGGCCAATTCGTGTTTCACGTGCTTGGCTCGTGGTACCGGCAATGCTTTGAGGAGCACAATGTCTCCAACTGTGCACTGCTCTGAAGCATCGTGAGCAAAGTACGTTTTGCGCTTGTTAAAGTACTGTTGAGAGAAGCAGAAGGGTCAAGCTTATAGTGAAATCATTTGTCTTCACAAACTCACAGTAAAACGTAACAACTCTGCCATTTTTTCCGATGACATTCTGATCACATTCGGAGCCAGGAATCCCACTGCTGGAACTCGACTCTCAGGATACAGTTAATCCCCAAGACTCGGAGAGCAAAGCGCTCTCCACACGTCTCTTACTTTCGTCCCACAATGTCTTCTAAGTATCCTCAGCCTCATTTTATAGAGGGGGCAACTGATAAGAGGAGTGAAGAGACTTGTCTATGCTGGCAAAGCCAGCATCCAAGGGAGAAGGGGAACCTAACACACACAGGGCTTTCCTCTGATCATCAGTCACACCCCATATTCACTACCCATACGGAATATCTGCAGCTCCACTGTTTGCTAGAATGAAAAGTGGTTAACACCTTGGAGTCAAGAAGACTTTGACTTCTAATCTGGTCATGGTTACTATCAGTGTGACCCCAGGCAAGTCACTTCACCTATTTGCCTAAGTTTCCTCATCTGTAAATTGGGGATAATAACAGCACCTCAACAGTGCACATTGACTAAATGTCAGCTCTGTCATGGTGGACTTGTTGTGAAGATCCAACGAGGTAATATTTGTAAAGTACTCAGCACAGTGCCTGGCACATAGTAAGCACTACACAAATGTTAGCTATCATCATTGAATATCCACTGGAGGATGGCTGAGTAAGTGGCAGGACATCAATGTAACGAAAAGCTACGGTGAAGTGACATAATGAAGCAAGCAGAAAGAGGTGGCATCATAGGGCACAGAGTGCTGGGCCTAAGTTCAAAGCTGGCCGCAGACACTGAAGAGCTGATGTGACCCTGGGGGAGCTACCTAACCTTGTTTGCCTCATCTGTAAATCTGACCGGAGAAGGAAATGGCAAACCACTCTACTCTGCCAAGGAAACACAAAGTTGGGCGGGACTAAACAACAACAGCATGACAACATTGACTGTGACCAGACATTTAAATTACACACACAAACAGAACTGACTGGTGAAAGGTTAGAGACACTAGGGGAGTAACACGTAAATTATCAGCTTGTCAAAGCAGATACAATTTAAAACGTGTTCACGTTGAGTTCGGCAAATCATTTATGACCACATGGCTAGAGCTGAGTGAACACAGCCAATAATGATTTTTCAAACACGAAAATGACTTGGCTCATCTTTGAAAGAGACTTAAGGACCAAATCTGTCCCTTGTGAACTCCTGACTGTATTTGGTTTTATGAATCATAGTTGATGATGATAATAGTAAAGAGTCACCTTGAATAAGTAGGGGTCCAGAACAAGCCTGTTCACTTGCACTTTGGCAGTTCTCTGCATCGCTGTCCCAACCACTTTCCCCACAATCCATTTGGCATGGACAGCAGAACGACCAACTGACATTTTGTAGCTTGCGTCACCTGAGAAAGAAATGTCAGTTTAAAATTCAGTCTAGCCGGTGGTTACAATGGATGACATAAATACCCTTCCTTTGTCTAAGGCCTATCGGTCTGAGGACACTGGGAGGGGTTTAGCCAAGTTTCCTAGCCTGCTTGCTCTTTTCACTCTCACCTAAGGAGAAGCTGGGAGTCGAACATACAGAAGCCCTTCGTTGTTTTTGGAACTTGGGAAAAATACCCAAGTACAGAGAAGAGAGTAGGGTTTGAGTCCAGGTTCTGCCATTGACTGAGACTGATTAAGTGCCAGTAGTAGGCACATCCCTTCACCTCACCCTGACCTGGTGTTAGCCTAGATTAGGGGATATTAACCAATCTTGTGTCATGGATCCCTTCAGTAATCTGGTAAAATTTATGGACCCCTTCTCTTAATTATTTCTTTTTCTTTTTCTCCCATTTTGTAATTTTTATTTTTTCAAAAATTTTTTTTCCCATATGCTTTTGAGTTGAAAATTTTTTCTCCCTTTTTCTCTCTTAATTTTTTCTTTAAGGCAATTGGGGTTAAGTGACTTGTCCAGAGTCACACAGCTAGTGTTATGTGTCAGACACCAGATTTGAACTCAGGTCTTCCTGACTCCAGGGCCGATGCTCTATCGACTGTACCACCTAGCTGCCCCCCTTCTCTTACCTGTTAAGTTGTTTCAGTCCTGTCTGACTCTTTGTGACCCAATTTGGGATTTTCTTGGCAAAGATACTGGAGTGATTTGCCATTTCCTTCTCCAGATCATTTTACAAATGAGGAAATGAAGGCAAACAGGGTGAAGTGATTTGTCCAGGGTAACAAAGCTAGTAAGTGTCTTATGCCAGATTTGAACTCAAGGAAGATGAGTCTTCCTGATTCCAGGACAGGCACTCCTATCTACTATGCCACCTCGAATTCCAATACTGTTTTAAAAAGCATAAAATAAAACACATGGGATTACAAAAGCAAAGAATTATATTGAAACAGTTGTCCAAAAACTTTTTAAAAAAGAAATTCATTGACTCCAGGCTATGAACCCTTGGTCTAGATTTCTAGGGGCCCTTTCAGTTCCATACTATGACAAGTCTGCCATTTATATGACTCTGAGTCTTACTGTGAGTTAAGTATAGACTTGAAAGGCTGTTTGGCTTTTTTTCTTTCTTGGAATCTGATGATAATCACTGGATTACAGATATAGAGCCAAAGGGGAGGGCCAAGTGTTGAGGTGGAAGGAACCACTGAGCCCCAAGGCCCCTTCAAGGTCAATAAAGCTTGGTTAAACACATAATACGTGCCAGGCACTGCACAGTCCCTGCCCTCAAGGAGGTCACAGTCGAACTGGGGAGACCACATGCAGACTACGGGACAGGCGAACTACGCACAGGATAAATAAGAGATAATTAGCAGAGGGAAAGGCTTCCAGTAAACTCCGGCATTTTAGTAGGGCCTTAAAAGGAAGCCCGGGAGGTCAGTGGGCGGGGCGCAGGAGGGGCGGCGTCGCAGGCCTGGGGGGAGGAGATGGAGGGTCTGGTACTCGGACAGCCGGGAGGGAGGCCGGGTCACGGGCCGGAAGAGTAAGTGTTGGGGAGACAGGACAGGCGGGAGGGGGCGGGCTCCAGGGGGCCACAGGGAGCCACTGGGGGTTATGAGCAGGGGTGACGGGGGGGGGTGAGTGAGGGACGAAGGGCTGGAGAGCACGGAGGGAGCCCCTCCCACATGCCACGCCTCTGCCTCAGTTTCCCCCCCCCGTAAGGGGGGGCGGCTCAGGCCGCTCGCCAGACTCCGGCAGGGTCGCGATGCCCTCTGGCCTTGACCCTCCTGGGATGAAGAGGGACGTCCCCGCTTTCCCTCCTCCTCCCCCTCCTCCCGCCTGAAGCCCGGGCCTCGGAGGCCTCCTCATCCCTCCCGCAGCTCCGCTGGGCCCCAGAGGTCTCGTACCCTGACCCGAAACACGTCCCAGCGTCCGACAGCAGTGCCTCCACGCACCACCCTGGGAACGTTCCCTCACCTCCAGCCCGACACCCTGACCCCTGAACTCTGACCGAACGCCGGCGCGCCCCGGCCAGGGAAACGTGGTGACGTCACGCCAATCGGGGCGGGCTCGGCCTCCGCGTGTCTGAACGGCCCGCCTCCCGCGTGAGCCGCCGGAACATCCCCCGCGCATTCAAGGGACGTGACCTGAGATATGCCCCGCCCCCTCCCCCTCTCTCCCAATCGAAAGAGCCGCGGGCAGTTGGGTGAGCACGTGTCAGAAGGCCGCGCGAGCGGAAGTGACGGCGGCTCCTCTGCTTTCTGAGATCGTGACGTGAGGTGGAGCCGAAGCCCTTCCGAGCCGGGTTCGGGTGGTCTCTGCGAAGCTCTGTCGCGGCCCCCTGGCACCTCTCCGTCCCGAGGCCGCCTCAGTCACCTCTTCATAGATGTCAGGCACGGCGGAGGGGCTTGGGCGCTCCCCTCCCGGGGCGTGTGTGGAGGAGGAGTCACCTGCAGACTCGGGGGCGATAACTGCAGCAACAAGAAGTGTGTGACAGTTTAGGGCCCTTCAAGGTTGGCAGGCGATTTCCTCCTTACATCCCGATTGTACAGCCTGAGGACACTGAGGCTGTCAGAGGCGAGGGGAGGCGGCTTGGTGGAATGTGGCCCGGCACAGGAATGCGGAGGATCTGGGTTGGAATCCCGACCCTGCCCCTTAACTACTGTGCGACCTTGGAAAAGTCCCTTTAAGGGGCAACTAGGTGGTGCAGTGGATAGAGCACCGGCCCTGGATTCAGGAGGACCTGAGTTCAAATTCAGCCTCAGACACATAACACTGTGTGACCCTAGGCAAGTCACTTAACCCCCATTGCCAAAACAAAAAAGAAAAGTCTCTCTGCCTCTCTGGGTCTAAGTTTCCTCCATTGTAAAATGAGGGAGTTGTATCAATCCATCTCTAAATCTTTGTTCCTGAGCCGTAGCTACCATCACCAGGCTAGTAAAGGGTCCGCATTTGTTTCCTCATAGCCTGTATTCCCATCACACCGAACCCGTGCCTATGTGACAGTTTTCTGTCTGGGCAGAATTGTGTGTAGAGAAAGCTAACAGGGTGCTGAGGTTTTAGAGTCTGAACGCTGAAGGATGATGTTTTTTAGGGCTTACCATCCATCACAACGGCCACGTGAGGTAGCTTATTGCAGGTTTTGTAGAGGCCCAGAGAATGGCAGTCACTTGTCCAGAGTCATACAGTTCGTGTCAGGCTGGATTCAGACCCAGGCGTCTAGCCCTATTTCTGACGCACCAAGCTTCCTGGATACTGTGGAAAGGCAGTTCAGTTCAATAAACATGAAGCAAGTGCTGTGCTGCTCAATAGGCTTGATGTTGAGGAAGCAAAGATAAAAGTGAGAGCCTGTTCACTCTCGAGGTGATTTTGGATATGCATTCATTCATTCAGTAAACACCTGTTCAGTGCCTAGGTTGTGTCAGGTGCTATTCCGAGTGCTAGGGATACAAAATAAGCAAAAAGCAGCCCCTGCCTTCAAGGGGCGTACAGTCTGATGGAGACAACATGTAAACTTCCATATGTAAACATCTATATATGTATGTATTGTATACATTCGACTAGTACATGTGTGATATATTACAAATATCTGAACCGTTTCTTTTTTTGTGTGTGAATAGTGTTTTATTAAGATCCCGTGCAGAGCACATGATCCACAGAACTAGGACAAAAAGGAATCGTCTCAAAAGGCTGTGCTTGGGATTTTGGTAAATTGCATGTAGCCCTCCCCTGAACAAAGTTCCAGTGTGTTGGAGTAACGTGGCATGTTTTCCCCCCGACACTAATAGCATAAATAGCTTCAAAAATATGAAGCCATCTGTTTATTCTTTGTAGCTTTTCTCGCTGTTCTAGGGTCTTAGCCTTTTAATCCAAAAATTGGATGGTAGACTCCTTTAAAGATCATATACACAAAATATGTCCACTGAGTTGGGCAGGAGGGAGGGATGGCACAGAATACATCCCTTCAGTGCAATAAACTCAACCACAGTTTGGAATGTCCAATATGAAAAAGAAAGGAAACGAGCATTTATTAAGCACCTACTGTGTCAGGCACTGTGCTGAGTACTTTACAAATATTGATGCCCATAACAACCCTGGGAGATAGATGCAATTATTATATTTTACAGTTGGGGAAACGGGCATATTTTCTTTTGATGGCGGGTAATATTGACCCCTGTGGACCTTATTTTAATATGAGCCACCTCCTAGTGTGTCTACCAGTCACAGTTGATTGGCACCTTGGGAACACCTATTCTTCGAAGGGCATATAAGGCTGTACCCCAAAATCCTAACCTGAGCCAGTTCTGAACTGGCTCCCTTAGAGGGGCCCAGTTTTGGACTAAACTCCCATGCAATGCATGTCAAGCTAGCTTGAGAGAAATTAAACCGTGGACACATGTACCCTAATTTTATTTGTTTCTTTCTTAGAATAAATTGGGGTTCATGGGGTTTGGCGTTCACAACTGTCATCTTCCTTTACAAGGCAGCCAGATGGCCCAGTGGACGGACCACTGAACCCGGAGTCAGGAAGACCTGTGTGAGATCTCTGGTGCAGGGGGACATTTCTCTCAAGGGCACTCGTTGGAGGTTCAAATCTTAGCTCTATTACTTGTTAATTTAAATATTATTATGTGTGTTATTCACTTCAGAAAACTTGGGACAAGCCTCATCACTTTTCTGGGCCTTAGTTTCCTCATTTGTTAAATGAGGTTGTTGGACTAGTCAAGCGTTCTTAACTTGGAGTCCATGAACTTAAAAAAAATTATAATTATTTTATTATAGTTGGTTTCTTTGTAATTTTATTTTATACATTTGAATAATTATTCTGAGAAGGGGGTCTTTCCCTAGGCTTCACCAGACCACCAGAGGGGTCCATTACTCAAATAAGTTAAGAACCCCTGCATTAGATGATCTCTAAGGTCTTTGACAATAATAATAGCTGTTATTTACATAGCATTTTAAGGTTTGCAGAACTCTTTGTAAATATATCATTTGTTCACAACAACCCTGGGAGGTAGGCACTATTATTATTCCCATTTTTTGTTGTTGTTCAGTTGGGTCGGACTCTTCATGACCCCATTTGGGGTTTTTCTTGGTAAAGATACTGCAATGATTTCTTGTTTCCTTCTCCAGCTCATTTTACAGATGAGGAAACTGAGGCAAACAGGGTTAAGTGACTTTCCCAAGGTCATACATGTAGTAAGTGTCTGAGGCTGATTTGAACTCAGCTTTTCTTGACTCCCGTTCCCAGGGCTCTATCCACTGTGCCACCTGGCTGCCTATTTACACCTTTGTGCTGTAAGCTAAAGGGAATAAAGAAATCTCAACCTATTGATTTAACATTTACTCACACTCATTATCTACAGGGCCATAAGAACCATAGTTTCTTGTTGTTTTCCTTGTTTGTTTTTCAGAGACGCTTCTCCAGCTACCTATCAGTGGCCATGTTTATCCCCTACTGGTTTGTTTTGTTTTTTAAAAGCAAGCTCTCTGCTCTCAGTGAGACCAGGTTTGAGGTCCGCTGGGCAGGTGCAGCTGTCCATGTGACTCTCAGGCTGGCTCCTTTCAAAGCCTAAGGTCACCATCCTCTAAGCAGGAAGGAGTTAATTCGCCTCCCTCCTGGTTACCTGCTCTAGCAGCTCTTGGCTTTGTCAGAGGGCGCTAAGTGGCTGTTCTTCCCAGGAAACAAAGGAGGGGGAACTTAGAAAACCACCTCTTCCACTTGTTTGTGTGTGTGGCAGGAGGCTGGGAGGCTGCCTGTGGCGGGACTCTGGATGTCTGCCCCAAGATGTGGAACTGGGGGCTCCGAAGCCTGTTGCCATTCTGTCTTGCTTCCAAGAAGAAGCAGACATGTGACTCCATTTGGGGAATTTAGACTTTCGTGAGTTTGCTCTTAAGGTAAGAAAATCCTTCTTTACTGGCTGAGATTTCAAAGCTGCTTCCTGGCGGGAGTGTTTGCTGGGGCTACAGTTTTTGAGGCTGCAGAAGAAATTGAGAAGGAAATGAAAACGATTACCTCCTCTGCTCTTTTCAGCCCTCTGTGGGCTTCTTGCATTGAATGGAGAGTCTGACTAGAAAAAGCCCAGACAACAAAATTGGAAATGGAAATTGTTGTCAATATATATATATATTTTTTCTCATGGAGCAGATGAAATCTCTACAGGTTATATGGTATCGAAGGCATATCAGAAGCTAATTATGCCTAAGTCAGGGGTGGGTAACCTGTAGCCTCCAGGCCACACGTGGGCCTCTAGGTCCTCAAGTATGGCCCTTTGAATGGATTCAGTTCAGCAAAGGGCTTGTGGACCTAGAGGGCCACATGTGACCTCAAAGTCGAAGGTTCCCTACCGCTGGCCTAGATACATTAAGGGATAGCCTCTCAGACTTTCAAATCATATTGTGAACACTACTTAATTCATTCATTTTGTAGTTCTGTGAGGTAACAACCTTTAATAAATTGTTTTTTGGGGGAGAATGGGATAACCTTTACATAGAGGTTTAATGCAACCATTAGAAAAGTACAAACTAGTCCTCTCTGTATTTGTACCAAATGGACTGAATTAATGAGAGTAGAGTTATTAATAGCTTTTATTTTCTGTTTTCTGTCCGCAGTCAAATAGACCTGAAGTAAATGCATTAGAAGACAGGTATATTTTGTGCATGTCTGTGTTATTTTTACAGTGCTCATGATTGAAGCAATGAGGTGTTCTCTGGATTTTCTCTGCTGCTTTTATTCTCTCTTGTCCTCATTTATTTTGTTTGGTTCCTGGTTTCTGGGCTTGTCACTGACTCTGACAGAGTAGGCAACACTTGTCCAAGGGGGGCCAACATTTCGGGCCAAGACCAAAAATTGGGGACATACTTAGTGAGCTAATTTCATGTTTGGAGTGAAAATCTGTGGGAAATGATCTTAGGTTGGACTAGAACACTCCATGCCCAGCTCACTACCACACATGATTTTGTGAGTAGTGAAGGAGAATGTTACTGAGCTCAATAGATTTTTTCATGGTAGTCGACTGCTTTAAGAATTAATTCAGATGGTACATAGACTTTGCTTTGGTTTGGTAAAGTTTCCACCGTGGTTATGTTTCCAAGTCCCCTATGAGCATCGGAAAGTTCCTACCTTTCACTTTTCCCCAACCTGACATTTTATTTTCATTAAAAAATTCAAAACATGAATTAAAAGAACAAAGGAAGCCGATTTGGCACCTGTTTTCCTTTTATTCTGTCCCCAGCCCCTAGCTCTTAGTAAGATTTGACTAGCAAACATGTTAAAACCATATTTCCAATGGGGATATTCATCAGATTGTCAAAACAAAAAGACTGGAGAGAGCCAATGACAAGATGTCTTAGTCCACATTTTTGATGAACAACTAGGATTGTGACATTTTTAAAAAAATTTAATATTCTGGCCAATCAGGGGTTATGTAGTTCTGTCTATTTACTGTTTTAAAATAGAACTCCATTAATGCTGTATAGAAAGTGAGAACGTGTAGTTTCAGCAGGATACAGAATGACTCAGTGGCCAAGCAGGGGCTAACTTCTTTTCCAAAGCAGCTGTGCTTTTTCCTTATCTGTGTTTAATCTTGAGCAGTGGACATCTCTGCCTCAGAGTCTCAATTTTGTCATCCTGGAGATGAAGTTAACAGTAGCACAATAATGCCTGTGGCAATGGGGAGTGAAGTTTTTACAAGAATATATTTTCCGAATAACTAAATATTACTATGCTTTAAAACACAAAACTTTTTTAAAAAGTTATTTAAGAAAGAAATCTTTCTAAAATATGCTACATATTGCCTTTGTAAACAGAACATGCTGAACATGTTTCTTGACTTAGGATCAACATTATAAATAACATTGAGGATGTAGAAGGAGATACAGTGTGGTCTAGCAGAAAATTGTTAAGCTTGGAATCAGGCACCTGGTGTCTGTGTAGCGCTCTGTGTGGCCTTGGGCAAGTCACAGGGTCTGGGTTCCCTCTGTTGCAGAATGAGAGCGTTGGACCTCCTCTCCAGCTTGAAATACTGTTTGCTTTTCAAGGTATGTGGAAGAGCCAAGAGGCTTGACCATGTTTTACATCGATAGGATCTGAAGTGAGATTTTGCAAAAAACAAAAAACGAGTTTACTTAGCAATAGCATGGAAAAGACAGCCGTAAAGGATACTGGCCCTAGTTCTAGTATACAAAGCTCTCCCTTATCTCTGTATGGAAATGCATGCGATCAGTTGACTGTGGTGACTTGCTGGGGAGTGGAATTTTTATTTAAGTCTGAGGGACACTAGTTCCTCTTAGGCCAGACTTTTTAAGGTCCTAGGTAACCCGGAACCATGGACCAATCGAAGGGACCAAGTTTTGGCGTCTCCATTCCCCAGTTTCCCCAGGGAGCAGGGATGAGATTTGAACCCTGATTCTAAGTCCATGCTGTCTCCCTGACAGCCGGAAGTTAATGTAGAGAAGTGAACTGCTTGAAGACTAAGCAGGTGTTTTCTAAGTGTTTGTTGAATTGGGGCCACCTGGTCCTGGGTTAATGGCTCGAGGTGACTACTTTTCTAAGTTCTTGAATCTACTTTTTTCAGGTTTTCAGGTTCTTCCCCTTGATGTTAGCTGTTTCTTCCAATTCAAGTCCCAGTTCATAGGCTCTTAGGTTCTTAGATTTAGAACTGGAAGGGACCTCAAAGGCCACAGAATCATTTTGCAGAAGAGCAAAGTGAGGTCCAAGTAGATTAAGTGATTTGCTTAAGATCACACAGGTGATAAAGTGTCAGAGACAGGATTTGAACCCAGGTCTTTGGACTCCAGGGCCAGTATTCTCTCCATGGTTTGCTTCCCCTTTCTAGTTTGCTGCTCCTGATTCATGATTTGGGAGACCAGATAATAAGCCCCATCAGAGTTGGGTGTAAGCACCAAGCTTGGTCCATGGAAGTGTTGAGAAAATGCACCTTTCTTTTCTCTGTTCTGAGGTGGGAGAGTCTAAATGTGGGATAATGAATGCATTTACAATAAACATCATGAGGGTAGCTAGATAGCGCAGTGGATAAAGCTCTGGCCTTGGAGGCAGGAGGACCTGAGTTCAAATCCAGTTGCAGACACGTGACACTGTATGACCCTGGGCAAGTCACTTACCCTCAACTGCCTCACCAAAAAACCAAAACCAAAATACAATAAGCCCCATCAATGTGGTAGTTGGTTTTACTGTACTGCTTTTTTTTCTTTCTGTTTTATTTTGTTAAGAAGGAATGATTCACTGGGGAGGGGAGGGGAATGGAACATACTCAGAAATGAAAGTGAGGGAAAAATGATGTCAGTACAATATTTTAAAAAAAGAATTATGCTTAAAACAGAAGTCAGTAGACTCTGAGTGGGTATGGTTGCAGTTGGTGTGAGTAGCGCTATTGTGAGTGAAGCATTTACTCGTTAATATGTGGACTTTCTGACATCTATTTTGGCTACTCCGAGGCCTCTTTCACTTACTTCCAGGTGACTGACAATATTCTGAATCGTACAGCCTTGGAGCCAGATGACATGTTACAGCAGTGATGTTATATTAGCTGTTGTTGTTCAGTGGATCAGTGGTGTCTGACTCGTTATGACCCTGGACCAATTGTCTGTGGGGTTTTCTTGGCAGAGGTACTGGAGTGGTTTGCCGTGTCCTGCTCCAGGGGAACCAGTGGATCCTTTTGTCCAGCAATTAGAGGTTGAGTGACTTGCCTAGGGTCACACAGCTAGCCAGGGTCTAAGGCTGAATTTGAACTCGGGTCTTCCTGAGGCGAGGCCCAGTGCTCTCTCTCCACTGAGCCACCAGCTGCCACTTTTTAAATTCACCAGATCACTGTAAATGGCAGCAGCTAAGATTATTCCAAGTGTTTGCAAAAGCAGAAAGTGATACATACTGCAGATAATTAGATAGTGCCACTTTTTTTCTGTTGCACACAGTCTATTTAACAATGTGATATAATAAGTAAGAAATGAGGTGGTATTTTATCATTCTATGCAGTGATTGAATCCTCTTGGATTTTCTCATTTATAGTAATTCTAGAGCTTGCATGATTTACAGCAGAATTCCTTTTCCTCATTTCACGTTTCGCACAGAAGAAAGAAAAGAATGTTTCTTCTCTATTAAAATCAGCACAGGCTAAGAGTGATCATCCCTATTTTGTCATCTAAAATCAGTCTTGTCAGAGAAACAAAGCAACAATTTCTACATCTGCAAGACAAGAATTTTGGCATAAGCCAGTATGTATAAGGTGTGTGTGTGTGTGTGTGTGTGTGTGCGCGTGTGCGCACGCGCGTGCATACACAAGAATCAATTCTTATCTTTCAGGGGTAATACTTGGAACACCCACAGAGTTCACGATAGAAAAAAAATCTTCCCAGCACATGTCAGAAAGTTACTGGGACACAGGTTAATGTCATTTTCAACTGAATACTTTTCAGCTCTCAAAGGACTTATTGTGAGTACTGGCATTTGGCTCCTCCCTTCACTAATGCTCACCACCATCCTTCTGTGCTTTAATAGATGGTTTTCTGCCCCCCTGGTGATGAAGCTCTGTAAACTTCAGGAGCCTGGTCTCCGACATCACACACACACACACACACACACACACACACACACACACACACACACACACACACACACACACACACACACACACACACACACACACACACACACACACACACACACACACACACACACACACACCCAACTTGATTGAAGGTGAATGAAAGTGATCGATCAAAGAGCAGACTTGCTCCTGTGAAAACTCATTTTCACTTAGTAACTGAGACTAATTGCTATCAGCCATTTGACAGTTAAACTGACTTTTATCACAAAGAATTATATCTATATCAAGTGCAACTTTTAGGACATACTTACCAAATTGTTATTTTTTTTTTTTAAGGATAGTCACCTGAAGATCAGGTAATTCAGGTGAGATCTTTAAAGAGGTCTGGACAAGCCAAATGAAAAAATGTGCCAGTAGTTATGGAGAAATTGGGAACCTAATAAAGGAGATTAAGAAAGCTGCAAATTGGACCTAGACAGTTTATCTTCTTTTTCACCAAAACATGAAAAGACTCAATCTTTTCAACATTCAAGACCCCTGTCCCTTAAGAACTGGGCAGAGAAATGTGGTTAAAAAAAGGTGGATTGTGAAACCTTGGGTACACTGAGGTAGAACCCAAACAACAGAGGTCTGCTGTGGAGTGATCAAGATTAGAAAGAGATAAAATCATGCAATCTGAGGCCACTGGGTGATATGCCTGCAGGATGTTTCAGGAAGAAGATATAGAAAGCTAGAATCATTTGTAGAAACAAATCAGGAGCTGGAAAATGTATTTTGAACTAAAGTAACATACAAATTATTACTTAAGTCAAATTTAGTAATTAAATTACAATTTCATATTCATCAATTTTCAAATTTCATATTTGTTAATAGCAGCCATTTAGGTAATGGGACTCTGGCTTTGGTTTGGCTTCTAAATAAAAATGCAATTTTCATGTGTAAAACAGATAAAACTCCATTCTGAAATGCTGTTTTAGAGAAGAATCATTTTCTATTTGCCTCATTTTCATTTTATGAAATGTAACTTTAGAAATGATTTATTAATCTGGAGAGATGACTCCTTTTTGATTCTTGTTCACTATCAGGTCAGTTTATCCATTGGAACATCATTATTTCAAAAAATATGTCCATCAGGGGGTTGAAGAAAAAGCAGCCAAAGATTTTCAAAGTCAAAGTGATCACAATGGATGCCGAGATGGAATTCAGCTGTGAGGTAAGAGACATGGTGATGTATTATCGAACTTGGCTTTGGCCAGTGTGCTTTTTCTGGAAAGTATTTAGTAGGCACCAGGAACAGAGGAAGGTGGAGCAAAGTAAGAAAGTTGTATATTTTCATGGATTTTCATGAATTGGCTTAATTGATTTTTCTGGTCTTCTGTTTACCAAGCGAATTAGCTGTTAGTTATTCAGACTTGAAATCTTTCACCACTGGAATCTTATGTGAGTGTGTCACAGTGCAAGGCACTGTCTTGACACACGGTTATAAACCAGAAGCAGATGTGCATTAGTAGGACCAGCTCATACCGAGCCCTTGAGTAGAAAGTCTTTTTGGGCTGCCAGGAACTCTATGACAACCAGCTGCACCTGGGTTATTTTATTGGCTTAGTGCTCGTTATTGACCTTCCTCCAGTAGTGTAGAGAGTAAGAGCATGAATCTTTGGTAATGATCCGGGTGTCGTTAAAGGCTTATTCTTCCTTCAAGACTGAGCTGATGATTTGCTAGCACTAATGTACTAAGAATTTCTTAGATCAATGATATGCCCGTTTTGGTACCCTAGTGAGGGGCGCTGGTCTCTGATCAGACAGGGAGTAGTAAAAGCAGGATACCCCATTTGAGAAGTGGAAAGAGGGATTTCAGCACCTCTTCCATTTGGGGATGTCTCTCCTTGTTTCTGAGTGCTCTGAGTATGTGAGGCCATGTCCCTACACACTGGGATTTCCTGGTTCTACCCTCAGAGCAGTGGGCAGTACTGAAGATGAAAAGGTTCAGTGAAATGCCAACAATAACCAGGAGTTTCTTGATTCAAGGCTTTGTTTGGCCAATAGAATGCCATCTATAAACTGGAATGGTGTGGGAAGAAGCAGGCAGATTGCATGAAAGAAGTGCCTATGCTTCCTGAGGACTGAGTCATACTGTCATTGTTTCAGATGAAATGGAAGGGGAAAGATTTGTTTGATCTGGTGTGCCGAGCTCTAGGGCTCCGGGAAACCTGGTTCTTTGGCCTGCAGTATGCCGTTAAGGGAGTCTGTGCATGGTTGAAGATGGAAAAAAAGGTGAGAAAACACCAAAGTGCCAGCTTCTTAATCGAGTGAGTTGTTTTGGAAAACATCATGTAAATGATAGTAATATATGGCATTTAGTTTGGATGTGCCAATAACACGAGGGCAGTTAAAAGCGTTGCTCATTACAAATACATGTGACAATGTACAAGAATGGAAATGATAGTGAATCCGATATATTTTTAAAAAATTAAATGATCAACATTAGAAAAAAAATCCTTCAAAATAGTTGAAGTAAGATCTAAGGATACATGCCAAATCATTATAAAATCTCTAAATTATTTTGTAATTATAATTATATTTATATATAATATATATATATAATTATAATTATAATATATAATTATAAATTTTTCCATTGAAATATGACTTGGGAAAATATGGACAAATTCCTTCTATGTATTAGTTTTTTTGCCACTGATTTATAATATACTCTTTCCTTCCATTTGTGGTTGCCATTGAAATAGGTGTTGTTAGCATTCTGACGTTTCTCTGCAGTTGCTAATACTTACCATTGTGCCTCTTTTTATGTTGGCATGCTTGGAACCAGGTTTTGGAACAAGAAATTCCCAAGGAAGATCCAATAAAATTCTGGTTTTTGGCCAAGTTTTACCCAGAGAAGGTGGAGGAAGAACTCCTTCAGGAAATCACTCAACACCTTTTTTTTCTTCAGGTTAGAGGGCTGATGAAAATATTGCTCTTTCTTGAAATCCTTCATTTTCTGCCTCCTTTCCCTTCTGAAGTATCTACAATAGCATCAGTTAAGTTTCCTGTGCCTGCCTGTCTGTTTTGTAAGGAGAGCTAAGTGTTACCTGAAGCCACTCTATTTACCTACCCATCAGTACTCTTCTGCCTGAATTTCTCTTGCATTTGGAGCACATGAATGGATAGTACTATTCTCTGTGTAAAGAAAGAACACCCAGTTATGGTTTAGGGTTCCCTTTTCTGTCTCATTTCTTTTGCTTAGTAAATAAAAGCATGTGATTGGACCCTGTTTTCCAAGGAGGCCTCTGGTTTGGACAGACACTTGATACCATGTGTTGGACCCCACTGAAGTCGGCTCCAGAGGCTGCCCCATGATCACTCCCACCTGCCATAGGGAAAACTGATGTTGCATTTCAAGGAAGAATAGCCAGCTAGGGCTGTAGCCTAAGGGCTCATTGCTCTTAGAAAAGAAGGACTCTCATGTACATAGCCTTGTTAGAGACACAGATTAAAAATGAGGGAGTAGGACTGGAGAGCTGATCTCCAAGGTCCCCACCAGCTTGGAGATTCCGTGATATCATGAAGACTGGAAGCGTTGTAAATTTCTTGATTCAGCGGATTTTCTGGCAAATCTTAGTTGTGCACGACTTAGTAGCGTTGGTCGTATGTCTCTTTTTAGTACAAGTGGAAGCTCACTTTGTGACAGCTTTCCTTATCTCGCCTTCATTTCCATGTTAATTAACTCCTTTGATTATCTTCCTAGAGTGTCAGGAGATGACAGCTGGAAGGGACCGTAGATATCATTTGGCACAGGGGCTCTTAACCTAGGGTGCACAGAACCCAAAATATCCACCAACTTGGAGGGGGAAAAATTATATCTATTTCAATAGAATCTGTTTATTTTGTGATCCTGTGTATATACATTTGAAAACATGACTCCGAGGAGTTCCTAGGGTTTCCCAGGAACTGCCAAAGAGACCCAGGGCACAAAGGAAGTGAAATACCCTTGGTCTAGAGCAAAGTCTTCCCTCCACAGGAAAGGAAACCATGGCCCTGAGAAAAAGGTTAAGTGTGAAGTTCTTTATGAAGAAGTGCTAGCTTTACTTTGTGAACAAGAGAACAGTCATTGTGCAGAATCAAGGAGGATGGGAAACCAGGAGAAAACCTACCAGCAACGTAGCTTGGCTTGCTAACTTATTATAGACAGTTTTTAGAGTTTCCATTTGGGCAAGAGGGTCTCTTAGGTCTCTGGAGTCTCTTCTAACCTCAGAGAGAGTCTTGTCAAGTCGTGTTTTCTAAGGTGACCTATGTGGAAACTAATCAGCAGCCAGATGTTATAGGAGCTTACTGCAGACAGGCTTTGAGGTGAGGGAGCTGGGTCAGTGCTCTCTCATCTAGTATCAGGAGGCGATCATGCTCAGAGAGACTTCAGGAGATGAGTGGTTTTGTAGAAAGAGAGAAGGCGAAACCACCCTACTCAACTGGGTGACTGGGGAGTCACTTAATCTCTCTGAGACTTACATTATCATCTTCAAAATGGGGATGATAATACTCTCGTACATCACTACTTGCATTACAGGGTCACTGTGAAGAGAGGACCTCGTGAAACGTTGTGCTAAATAAATATTTGGGTCCCTCTGGCGCTTATTTCTGCTAGGAACTGTTGACTTCCAAGGCCTTTTCTTTAGTGTATATATGTTAAACGGAAACTTAGTACATATAGTTAGACTAATTGGAAAAAACGAACCATGCAGGTCATCATAATCTTTGGTGATCTTCAGAGCTAATATCCTTTTTCCCTTGTTTAAGTGTTTGTAGGTGACACAGTATTTAGTTAGTAGTTAGTTTGCAGGTGGTACAGTGTTGACCCGGAGTTGGGAAGACCTGAGTTCAAATTCTGCCTCAGACAGGCATCAGCCTAATTGCTGTTTACCTCAATTTCCTCATCTATAAAATGGGTGTAATAATATCACTTAGTTTCCAGGGTTGTTGTGAAGCTCAAATGAAATAATATTTATCAAAAGTGCTTAGCATATTGAGCGAAGTGAACAGAACCAAGAGAACTTTGTACACAATAACAGCCACGTTGTGGGATGACTAATATTGATAAACTTAACCCTTCTCAGCATTACAAGGATCTAGACATCTCCAGAGCCCTCGTGATGGAAAATGCTGTCCACGTCCAAAGAAGAGAACTGTGGAAGTTGAAGTGCTATCATTTTTTTTCCTCTTCTGTTGAGTTTTGTTTCCTCTTTCTGATGGTTCCTTCTGTTGGTTTTAATTTTTACTTACAACTTCACTAATGTGAAAATATATTTAATAGGAGTGTGTATGTATAGCCTATATCAGATTGTGTGCTGTCTTGGAGAGCGTGGTGGGGAGGAAGGGGGAGAAAAATTTTAAACTCAAAAGCATATGGAAGTGATTATTGATAAATCAAAAAAATTAATAAAAATTAAAAAAAAAGTACTTAGCATAGTGCCTGGCACATAGTAAGCACTTAATAAATGCTTATTTCCTTCCTTCATATTCAGACCATGATAAGCTCCCAATAAGTTCAAGAGTTTAGTTGTTTGATTTTTCATAAATGATGGGGTTTTTTTTGTGTGTGTGTGGGTTTGGAAGCTCAAAGAACATGTAAACAGACCTTCGTCTTCTTTGCTGCTGGATTTGAAGAATAATTAGAGTAGAGTTGTGTCTTGAAAGATTTAATATTTCTAATTCATCCCCAGACCAGTAGTGAACAGACTCCAGAATTCAGTTCTCTTCCATTATGAATATCCTTTGCTGATATTTACATAGTACTTTAAGGTTTTGGAAGTGCTTTATCTACATGTACTAGAGGCATACTTATCCCCATTTTAGAGATGAAGAAGCTGAGGCTCAGAGAGGTTGTATCTATAGTCATGTAGCTAAGAAAGTTTATTTGTTGTTGTTCAGGCATGTCCAACTCTTCATGACCCCATTTGGAGTTTTCTTGGCAGAGATACTGGAGTGATTTCTATTTCCTTTTACAGCTCATTTTACAGATGAGGAAACTGAGGCAAACAGGGTGAAGTGATTTGCCCAGGGTCACACAGATAATTAGTGTCTGAGGCTGGATTTGCACTTGGGTCTTCCTGACTCCAGGCCTGGTGCTCTATGCACTGTGCCACCTAGCTTCTCTAAGAAAGCTTTCATGGGCAGGATTAAAACTCACGTTTTTACTGAATCCGTATTCAGGACATACTGTGTAGCCTCTCAGTTAACATCCAAGTTAACAGTCTGAAGACTTGTCTGGGTATGCCCAGCCTCCCATGTTGTATCCCCAGTGCCTAGCATAGGGCTTTGCCTGGGTGCTTAATAAATATTTGAATCGATTATTCCTCCATCTGCTATTGGGTAGGAAACTTAGAGAGTTAAAATACCGATTTTCCCTTGGGCCTTTAAAGTGTTACTTGACACCAGTTTTCTAAAGGGGCTTTGAAATGACGGGAGCACCACAATTTTCCTCAAAGTTGCACAACAAAACACAACTTTTAAGCTTTTCTTTCCTTTTGAACCTGCCTCAACTGGCCTTAATGTTTAGAGATGTAATTACCGAAATTCTCCTCATTCCAAAGTAGGAAAGCTGGAGACCAAAACATATTTGAACTTGCACGTTGCCCTGATGATAAAGCATTTAAGGTCACACCTGATTCTTAATTGCAGAACATGTGCAGACAACTGGATGTTAGTAAATTTTCATTTTACGTCTCAAAAAAAGAGGGTCCCACAGGAGCCAAATCCATGTGACAAAGCCTGGCCTTTGTGGCTGGTGTCTGCAGCATGGAAAGGTGTAGAAGGGTGTTGAAAGACTAGTAAAAGAGCCGTCACCAGCATTTATGTCAAAACTAACACACTCAGCAGTGGCTCTCAGTCATTTTCTGTGGTAAAATACAATGTATATATCATTATGAGGATTTAAAAAACTTTCACTTTGGAAAGCAAAATATTTTCCATTTTTCCATTTTAATAGTTCAGCAATGCTTTTACCTGCATTTCAAATCGAACCCATATACTTGACTCATCTGAGAATAGAATGCAAAGAAATACGAGTCTTCCATGGCTGGCTTCTGTCTGTCCCGGAGCTTTTTTGGAAGGAGAGCTAAGTGTGATGTGAAGTTTCTCACTTTTTCCACAGGGGACCTCGTTAAGATTGGGAGTTAAGTCTTTGCTAATTCTCATTTTGTATATCTGAAGGAGAGATTTGAGTAGACGCCTCGAGAGCTAGCAGAGTTCCCAGAAACGTGCCCATATAATGGACTAAAAAACTGAGAGACACGAGAGAGTTAAGAGTTGGAAAGAGGCAAGTGATGAATGCTCTTCTCGTGAATTTGGTGCCATGAATCATCCTGCCGATTCCCATGTCTGAATTATACTGGCTTTCCTCTCAGTTCCTCCTAGAATTAGGAGGACACATCTGCTATTGCCACTGAAATAAGATCCGGGGAGATAATAGAAAAAACAGAAGGGATGTTGACATTCTCCCTGTGTTCGCAGTGTTCAGCTTGAAAAAGTTGTTTGCTTTAGATCATTTAGGCTCCAAAGCCGTATTTCCTTTCCAGCCAATACTTCATGTTCAAATCCATCTAGATTTGGGGTGGGGCAGGCGGGGCAGGCAGCAATTCATTTAGGCTCAGGGGCATGAGGTGGCTCAAATGGGTAAGTGGGGGTGGAATCTCCGATCCTTTGTCATTGTAAGATTCTCTAAAGTACTTTCTTAGGATGAGGACAGAAGCAATGGGCTTCAGATTGTGTGGAATGGATGGGTTAAATTCCCTCTGTTCAGAAGAGTCCTAAATAAAATCAGATATCTCAGTTGTAACCTAATAACTCATCTTTCTGGAACATGGCTCTTCAGCAGCCTCACCTATCCAGAACACCATCATAAAAAAGGAAATAAGCAGAAAGGAACTCTAAACAGCCAGAACAGATATAATAAAACCT